CAAACATGGTTTGCATTCAATGTTAGGATCTTTTTAAGTTGTAATGAAAACACCTATGCAACTCAAACCAGTCTTTTAAAAGTTTCCTGTTGCTGTTGATTGTAATTCTAAAGCTACAGAGTTTTCTTCAGTGTGCCATAAAGCTAAACTATTTTGGGGAAGATTGACCAGCATGTCTCCAGAGACATGATTATTACACAAGTACAGGGGGATACTCTGTTAGTGTTTTGCCTACACTGAGGGGTCTGTCATGCAACGTCTCCTCAAATGAGAACACATTCAGGCATCATTAGCACACAAAATTCACCCTGGAAACTCCTAATGACATGCAAGGAAAAAAAAAAAAACTATTGAACTGAGGAGTTATGAGATTTAAGCAGGTAATGGTTCAAAATAAAAAATAATAATAAATAAACTTTAAACAATAAAGCAGTTTCTCACTACAAAGGAATTCAGAAGAAAGAATAATGAATTTCCATGTTATTTGCTGAATTCTTTTCAAAATATCAACCATCCAAAATTTAAACTGACATGAAATCTAGCATTTTTTTGTTTGAAAGCCATAATGCGCCAGTGCTTAAAACTAGGATTTTAATGGTCTAATGTAGGCTAGGTGGGAACAGGCTCACTGTTGTATAAACAGGGAGTCTGGTTATTTGTTTGCCAACCCATCTTTCTTTCCGTTCCTGGGCACACGGCCAGACTACATTTCCCAGCATCCTTTGCAGTGGGCGTGGCCACAAATGTGCTCGGAATGTGCATTGTGGGTAGAAATGCCATACACCATCTCTAGGCATCACGCATACAAATCTCCCAATGTGCTGTCTTCCATACTCAGAGAAAGGGCACTGAGAGGGGCAGAGAGCTGGGTGAGACCCCCTGTCAGCTGGGAAGTGCTGTCAGGTTAGGGATGCAGGGCAAACCATTACTTCAGTAAGAAACTTTTACTGTGAGAAGGCCCTAAACATTTAAAAATAGTTTACAAAGACACAACATTTCCTAGAAAAAAACAACTAAGCAATAAGTTGTTAATCATAGTTGACCACTAAGTTAATACTTTTACTCAGTTGTATAAAGGGATGGATATTGATAACAGAGCAAGCACCCTGTTGAGTGCGGGAGCTCATTACTTTCACATAGAAAGTCTTCCTAACCACAGTCTTCAACCTGAGCTGACACACCGGACCACACGTAGCTCTGCGAGCTACCTTATCTAACATACGTATCTGAACACTAAATTTACCCATGTGAGCAAACCTTCATTAAAATATCACATGCCAAGGCAGAGTTGAAAACAAGATTGCAAAACTGAAGATGTGAGTTGGTAGCTGGCTTCCTTACACTGTTGGAATAACCCAGTTAGAAGTGCACCTGAAGAGCGCTCTGAAAATATTTTGAATATGTTAAAAATACTTAACAATACTTCACAAAAGTCTTCATCAGTACCTTCTCCCATGAAACAGCAACAGCAGATAATGGATTACACTTCCTCCCTCCCTCTCATCTTTTACCATGTTGTAAACATGACACAATTAGGACAGTATGTTTTCCAAACAACATGAAACTAAAGTTCGAAAAATCTAATAAATTTTGACCAGAAGTTTAGCGAAGGTAGCGGTCCATCATGGATAGATGAATGGGGGCTTCTCAATACCACTCTGAGTGCCCATCTGCGAGGCCAGGGCAGCCCCAGTAAAAGGAAGCCCCAAAACAACTACGACCAAAGGCTTCCAGGGGCTTCCCTGCATAGCGAGCTGGGTGCACCAAGGAGGCAGCAAGACAGGACACAATCAGTACACAGGGACTAAACGGATGTAATCCTCACTGTGTGAGTTGCATTTGTCAATCAATGCCTCCTGTAGCGCAATATCGTGACTGGCCAGGAGCTTTAATGACCAATATGAGACATGGTTCTAGACTGGAGGCCCCAAGGTAGAGAGGTTGGGAAGAAGACTCAAAACAATTAATACCGAAACCAAAAAATCAGAATCTTGCTGATTGCAATCTCGCCTTTGTCAAAAGCCAAGCACCATGTAATCAGAGGCGTTTAGTATTGACAGATTAGAAGCAGTTACAAATTTGTCCTTGAAGAGTTTGCTTCATTTACACAAATAAATCAGTTGGATTTATTTTTACTTGTACTTCAGGGAAAAAGAGTGAGTTGACCCACATGACACTATTAATACAAATGTTAGGGAAAATACGGCAAAGTTGGCAAAGTGCTGGAATGACTCAAATCTAGGAAACATTATCATAAGTACTTAAGAATTATCAAATCATCTTTTACATAAAGGGCTGAAGTGAACACTAAAATAATTAAATGATCCTGTGAATCTGAAAAGAACAAAATTAACATTTGCTTTAAATTGTGGATTGTGGTTGCATGAACCACTTTCCTTGACGTGATTAGTTTAATTCCTACATTAAATGCTTTTGGTTAATTTTTTACTTCCTCAGTCTTTATGATTTTAACCCACTCTAGTGGGTTAAGCATTCCGAACTCCATGCCTGAAACACACAAATCCAAATGTTTTAACACTGTTGTTTCTCAATAATGAACACAATCTAAATATCAGCATCTATATATTAGGGACCGTCTGTTTAGAGGGTTACATCCATTTATATAAATGGGGTGAACGTGGGTAGAGTTAGACTAAATTAAATGTGCTGAGATTTAGAAATGACTTGCTGCCTATTAATAGCCTGAAATAATAACATACATTTACACACATCTATAAATCTACTTACAAAAATACTCATATACCAACCCGATTTCTAATTATCACCTAAAACATAGGTTAGCATATAACAGGCAGTTATGGATCTGATGTGTGTATATCATACACATTCTATAGTCTGTAACGACATGATTAAGAATGCTGTCATGGAATAAAAGAATAAATCCCATGTGTGTCCTTCGATAGATATGCCTGGTTATGAAGTTTAAAATCAAAAACATCACTGGGATGAGAACAAATTTTGGTAAATCACAGCGAATAATCACTGCAGAGCACTAGTGGGCGCCTCCAGAGAAACAAGGAGACGGGCCCCTGGTGGCCACGGCCCCTGCAGACGACCCTGGTCCTGGCCGCAGCATGGCCTGCTGCCGCATCCAGCTCATCAGAAATTCTTTGGACCTCAGTTGCCAAAAATTGCGAATCAGGAAAATGCATAAACCAATCTCTAAGAAAACTGAAACATCTCTTGAGAGTTTAGGACTCTTTGAAAAACAGAGAAACTTCAACCAGCAACAAACCATAAATCATAAAAGACAAAGATATGGGTGATATAATGTGTTACCCACTCCTACAGGCAAGCACCACAGTGTCCTTCAATCAAATGCTAAGAGCACAATATGCATAAAAGCCTCACTCACCACTTTTATGCTTTGAGTATCAAAACACCCTGAATATTCTGTGGACTCTTCATTTCATTCCAAGTATTTGACTTTGTCCCCAGTCCGCCACCCCCTGGCCCAAGCTTCAATTCCCTCTGTTATCTATAGGAAGTTATGTTTAAAGTAGTACATATGCTTACTGAATGGTGAACATTTTCAGGAAGGGAAATTCATTACTTCCCATGGAGAGGTAGGAAAAAAAGAGAAAGACATTCTCTCCCTTCATGTAGTACTTGCCTGTGGGTCAGAGAAACAGGTTAAACATTGGAATAATGAATGAATTGCAAAATCACAGAGCAAAATTAAATAGCAATAAAAATAATTATTCGCTCCACTTCTTATTAGTGTATCTTTGCCATTTCTAAACTTCATCCTGTACGTATACATCAGCTCACCAGGAGACCCCAGGCCAGGCAGTGGTTCAATGTCAAAAGGCACATCTATCCATCTGGAGGCCTTGCTCCCCCCACCAAAAAGAACATCTCTATTACCGCCTGAAAGTCATAACTAGAACTCCCGGTTTTATTATTGCACAGCAAAATGATTTACTTCTTCCCAATGCGGTAACCACTGAAAAGAACATTCATACTTTAACCAGTGACCTCATGGTAGCTGTGATAACTGCTATGTAAAAATAAGCAGTGAATCAGATTTTGAGGTTCACCCAGGTACACTTGACTCTGACCATGGCTTCCATGTAAATGTTTAAATCTGATCTTACTTAAACCTCCAGACTGCTGTCAACATGGATACACACACACTGCAATGTACATGATATATTCCAGAAGGGTATACTTGGAACCTCTATCATTTTATTAACCAGTTTCACCCCAATACATTAAAAAAAACACACCCAGACCGAAGCCGTGTCGCTCTTTTCAGGCACGTCTTGTGTGTCAGAGGGACAGCACGCACAAAGGCGTCAGGGCAGACACCGTCTCACCCTCGGGGGCCCCAGGACTGGGCCCGGCGAGACTGGGCACTGGGGACAGAAAAGAACTGTGGTGCACGGGTGACCAATGTTACCTTTCGGATTAGACCTGCTTTGACCTTGGCAACAGAATTAAAAAATCAGAACATTAGCAGGAATCTAACGAACTTCCTCTCTTTAAGAACGAATCAATAGGCAACGTAAGAGCAGAACTGAAGAATCCAGAATAAGTGAATGTGAACTTTATATGGTAGCTCTTCTTTTAACATTAAAAAATAACGTGCTAGGACAAAAAAAAATCAAATAAGAAAATTAAACCCCCAAATAAACCACTGAAAAGCTACAAGAGTGGTAAAAATAGTATTAGTGGGATCTAAGTGATACGGCAAAAGTAATGACATTTAGGAAGAGCTTTTCGGGCATTTGCATTTTCAGAAAGCATTTTGTGATGCTCTAGTAAGCATCTTATTAAAAAACTTGTAGCATTTAAAATTACATTTATAAAATACATCAATCTAAGAGCCCTTTGATTTATATGTCATAATCAGCGGAGCTAATCACAAAAAAACCTGGTAACTGACTTACACATCCATCTCATCAAACTATCCCAATGTATAAACATCATTAAAACAGAACTAGATGCTCCCACTGTAAATAAAAATATACGACTGACACAATGACAAACACCTATTTATTGTATTAAATACAAGTCTGAAATGTTAAGTTGCTATTACAGATTTCAAAACACTACGTCTCAGATTCCCAAAAGGTCCTGCTGGTGGTTTGACAACTAAAACGATGCTTCAGAGGTCTTCTTTCTTTCCTTAAAACAGCAACAACGGGGGCATAGAAAATAAGTAAAATCCACAACTCTGAAGTTAATTCAAATTCCTCTTGAATTCCTAAGGGGGCTGTAAACAGTGTGTTCTGACGTGTTCGTAGCTTAAAGGAATGTGACTTTGCGAGCCCGCTCGGGGCTCTGCCCAGGCAGCCGTCTCCACTACACAGTAGTTTCGTGTTTCCACAACCCAGTCCTCACGTTGCCGGTGCTGTCCGTACCCAGCAAGGCCCCGTCCTGCCCGCTGCTTTGGATCGGTCCGTTCTGAACGGCCAAGTTGAGGCCATAAGACTTCTGCTGACTTTCGAGTTCAACTGCAGTTGGCTTCCTTACAGCATCTTTTTTGCCACTAGTCGAAACTGGCTTTTCCACATTTCTGCTGCTTTTGGGGAGCGTGCTGCAAGCATCGCTGCTATCTGGTTGGGGCGGGTTGTACTGTCTCTCTCTGTAGGCCAGGTAAGCTCTCCGACTCCTCGAGTGGCCCTCGCTGGTGCCCGGCCGACTTTTCGGTAGGCCATTCTGCACGCTGCCCTCCACACTTGTGGGGACGTCGTAGGCGTACTCTCTGAGGACTGTCAGCCGGCTGGCCCGGTGTCCTTTACTTCTGTTTTTATGATGGCGGCTTGGGTGCACGTTTGTTCGGAACTGAACTTCCAGTGGGGCCACGTGCATCTTAATATCGTTGTCCATCGAGTGTTCCGTCAGACTATTATCAAGCTGAGGTGTGGCGTTCAAAGGCAGAGAATTGGCACGGCACTGGGCGGCCGCAGCCTGCAGGTTGGTCAGTTTGCAGCCCTGAGACGAATTTTTGAAGCTCGAGGCGCTCTTGTTGGTGCATGAAGATTCCGCGCTGCTGTTGGTGCACTTCGGGGCCTCGCCATTCGTCCCGGTGGCGTTGGCAGGCTGCACGTTGACCTGCACTGAGTACGAGCTCCGGCCTGGGCAGCAGGTCATGATCCATGCAAGTCTGACGTCCTCCCGATTGACACAGTGGTGAACCACGATGAACGCGCTAAGGCTCAGACACGTGGCTCCGAAAAAGAAGCTGAAAACCAAGTCCAGAGGGTAATACAAAGAGACAGCCAAGGCCCCAAACATCCACAAAGTGACATATAAGAGCAAAGTGAGGCTGGCCCCCAAAAGCTGAGAGTGAAAAGTGTGCTCGTTTTCCAAGGCTGATGTGGAAATCAGAGACAAAGACATCGAATCCGGCTGGTTGACTTCGCCGTTTTCCGTGGCTGCCAACCTCTGTTGCTCCTCCGTGGGCTCCTTCAGCTCATACTTGCGCTCAGGGTGTCTTTTCAGCTGAATAAATATGCTGAGGAAGTACATACAGTTTACGAAAGTGATGAAGCTGGCAGGCCCATAGAAGGCTCCCAAGGAGGGCTCCCACGCCATCCAGCAACTGCAGGAGAGAAAACGGTGAACCAGCTCAGATGCCACGGAGATCAACAGGCTGTTTATGAAACGGCAGTACGCTTTTCTGCCTGGGAAAAGGTTACAAGGGAAGCAACTGGGTCAGGCTCACAGACAATGCAAACTACTCACTAGGGCGCACTTGGCCGACTGCCGTAATTCTTGATGTTTGCTGCTGCTGTTATGCCACAAACAATGATGGGTATACCGCCTCCAATCAGGTAAAACCTGGCAGGAAAAATAAAAGAATAACTTATTGTACAATTAGTTACCATGAAGGCATCTTTTTACTGCAAAAGATTATTCCTTAAAGATCACTATTCCTATTCCAGTAGTAACTGGAAGGTTAACTTTCAGAGGCTGCTGTTTTAGCGGTAATGTTTTTTAAATTTTTATTAAATTTTTGTTTCGATTTCTTTTTTTTCAAAGCCCAAGGTCTACCAAGTTTCCAAGCTAGGAAAGCTGGTCATCTTCTGCCACCCTGTGGACAAGCAAAGTAACGCTCAGCTCCAGCAGGTAGAGTTTTAGCTGACACTTTTTCTTTCAGGGGGAACTAGGTTTTTTGTTTGTTTGTTTTTGCTTTTTTTTTTATTCAGCTCGTGAACTGGAAAGTTAGTCCATTACAAACTGGACTTTCAGATCCCACTGTGCCATAGTCCAGACAAAATACATAACAACATGGTAATTATTATTAATGTCCAGCCGAGCATGCATTTATCCCCAGTCAGCTGAGACACCAGGATCCTGGCAGCCTCCCACAAAGGTTGTGCCCTCCCCGGCCCCTTTCCCACACTTGGACTTGCTGAGAAGAGCAAGACAAACCAGGTGGGGTAGGTGGGCACTAAGCACAGAGGGTGACAGAGTGGTAGCTGGTCCTAGGTACAAAAACTTCTTTTTTCTGGCTGCAGCTTCTTTGAGTTCTCTGAAAAAACAGGCAACTCTGCGCCCTGGCTGGGTCCGCTGGGTACGGCTGGAATCTTAACCCTGCATTTGCTACTTCTTACGGCATAGCCCAAATCCTGAATTGGCTGGATAAAGGCAGTATTCATAACACATTTTTCCATAGATTGTTTCTTAGTCATGCTCACAGGTACTAAAATTCTTAAATATGATGTTAAAATTCTTAAATATGAAAAGCCTGTGAATTATACTATAAAACCATAACCCTGTCTTCTATTTCACACATCCAGGGAGGTTAACATCTGTGACCCTCCCTGCTAAATTGTTTCCCGTGGGCTTCTTCTAGAAAAGAAGGCATCGTTTCCCAAATTAATCACAGGTTCTGCATCCCTTCCTGCCCCTCTTACCCCTCCCACGACCAGGACGTCCTGTTATCAATTAACCCTCATTTTGCAGCTTAAAAATCTTCTCCACTGCCTCAACTTTCAGCCTAGATGCTGTCCAAGTTTTCTCCTCTCTTCTGAAACTTGCCTTGACCTACCACCTTCTCACTCTCTCCCTTCCGTGACAAACTCCTGGAAATAGTACCATCATCTGCTTCACCTTCATAACCTTACTGTGAGGCCATTTCCAAGTAGTGCTACTGAAACTGCCCTCTCTGGGGATAGGGGAGACACAGGCTCCCTCTGCCCACCCTCCAGGGGCCAGGCTGTTGGGCCTTCCTCAAGCTCAAGGTCATGGGATGAAGGACATACTAGAGGGAGTAGCTTGCACTGTCTAAAGCTAAAAGGGGTACTTGGGGGTCTCAGTCAGGGACTGCATAGGGTTCGGGGTCCAAGCTGTGTTCTACTTAACCGTTTGTGGTTTTTTTCTGAGAACTCAACAGACAGGAACAGCTGCCTGAGGATAAGATCCCCAAGTCTCTTAGCCAAACACCGTCTCCCAGTTCTTACAGTGTAAGTGACAGAGGTGCCAAGCCTCACACTCCATAATCTGAGTCCGGCCGGGCACCACTGCTGCCCCTCGTTGTTCTGCTTGAATCTTAAATGTTCTCCTGCAAGTGTTATTTTTTTTGTCATCAGAGTATTCTTATTTATTTTTAAAACCTTATTTCATCTTATTTTTAATTAAATCCATTGGGGTGACACTATGCAATCAGATTATATAGGTTTCAAGAGTACGTTCCTATGATTCATGATTCTCCCTTTTATTTTCTATGGCCTGTCTACTAAACATACACAGAGCCCAGGAATCACTCTTTCCTTAACCACCTCTCTCTGCGGATCTCGTTCACAGGACCACACACATAAATATGTCCTGTCCCATCTATGGTATGTCCAGCTCGTCTTCTCTGCTAAGCGCCAGGCTTCCAAAAATGTCACCTTTCCCCAAAACAGGAGTGCTGAGCCTATGTCCCCTGTGCTTACCCATTCCCGCCCCCCCCACCACCTCCCATTTACTTTTCTTACAGGATTTTCTCAATGGATGGAAGCGCCTTCGGCTGAGCCAACCTAGCTCCCCGGAGTAGACAGTCTGCAGGCATCTTTGTGTTTCTCTGCCTTGCTCACCTCTTAAATCCGGCTGGCCGTAGCCCCTGGAGAAGCTGCCCCAAGTCTCCCGAACATGTGTCCCCCCTGTTCCCTATGTCACTGTTTTGGTTTCAGCCCTCATGGGGCCCCCAAATGCCCTCAGTGGAGTTCTTTATCCTCAGGCATTCCAATTTACCGTCCAGACGAATGCATGCTGTCCTAAAAAGCCACCTTGCCGGGTTATAATCCCTTAGAGTTAAAATTCTACAACGGCTGCCCCCATATTCACACCCATGCACCTGAAATGCTGAATTCACCCCAAATTCACGCTACTGTATGTCTTTCACCTCAGTTCCAGCCGAAGTGCATTTCTCCAAGTTCCTCACCACACAATCCTGTATCTAAGATGCTGCGTCTACCCTTCGCTCTCAGCACCAGCGGAGGTTTGTGCCCGAGGCCAAACGGTGAGTAGCAGGCCTCCGCTTCCCAGCCTCCCGTTCACAGCTGCTTTGTTGCACTTTCAAAAAGCGTACCCCACTGCAGTTCTTCAGCTGTCATCGGTAAGTTCTTCACACGCCTGTCTCCTCAAAGACTAAACTCCTCAAGGAAGGGAGGGTTTCTTTAAGTCAAGTACATATTCGGCATTCAATAAGCTCAGAGACATTGATCAATTTTTTACTCATCAAGCGTGATAACCCCCTGACAATTTTTTAATGATAATTGGTAAAAAGGGCCTAACTCCAAAACTATTTTGTCTTTTGCAGAGAATAATAAAACGGGTGCATGCTTGAGCAGATTAAACTCTATGACCTGACCCTGGGAAAATAAAAACAGCTGACATCGTCACAGAGCCTAGTGTGCAGTCAGCACCTTCTCCACTGCTCTACAGATTAACTCATTTCTTCTCAAAACAGCTGTCTCGGGGAGAATCGTCCCCACTTTACAGAGAGAGACAGGCACAGGGAGGGTCAGAACCCCAACAAGGACTCCGGGCTGGAAGAGACACAGCCAGTATGCAACACCAGAAGCCCGCCTCTAAGTCCATTCTTCCACTTTCCGAAACTCCCGCAGGAGCCAGGAGTTTTGTTAGGACGACGCTTCGGTGAGCGTGACAGGTACCATGATGCACTTCAGAGAGATACGAGGTACCTGAGCATTGGTCTGGGGGGAGGTGGCAGTTCATCAGGATCCTGGCATCTTTTAGCTTTCTTCGTGACTTGTTTGTAGATGTTTCGGGCTGTTACCCCCACCCATAGCACCGTGGCAAGGGTAGAATAATGAAGAAGTATTCCAACCTGGAAAGAAGATGAAAAAAAAAAAACCATAAACTATAAAAGACAAGTACAATTCTCCTTTTCCATCACAAAGCATAGTAGCTGCTAGTGAGGTTTATCACGAAGATTGATGAGTAACTTTCAAATAGAGGATTCAAAAACAGAATGAAGGTATATTCTAACGATGAACTCCTTTGCCTGCTAATGAAACAAAGAAAGCACTGTAACCAACATATAAGAGAAGACTGTGTCTTCTAAAAGCAAACTGACAGTTGCATGTAGGTGGCCCACAGCTGATACCAAGGTGACCCTTAATACACCATGGAATTGGCTACCGGACAACGATGAACCACAGGCATGTTTCTCAGACATGCAACATTATAAATTAGAGTTCAGTTTCTAAACCCCATTTTAAGGAATAACATAGAGGGTAAGGTAACTAAGTAGAGGGCAAAAGTTACAGCACACAAAACAAGCTTTAGAGTAAGAGACCCAAGTTCTAATTCCGAGCTTTTATGTACGATCGTGGTAAGAGAGCGACATAACATATTGGTGGTTAGGAGGGAGAGATCTGAAATCAGAACGTTCTGCCTGTTCTACCCCTCACCTGCTATGACACCTTACAGCAAATCAACTAAAATCTCAAGCATTGTTTTCCTCACTGGTGAACTGGGAATACCAGGAAAGTCCTGTGAGGTTCAGGTCAATGCTATAAAGCATTCAGCACATGTCCTGGTACATTAAAAGCAATTGGTAAAAAAGATACAGATTTTTACTATAATTTACTAGGCATGTGAACAGTGGGGGGACTATGAAAACCATCTCTAGGGTTTTTGTAGGGACTGAATGGGCAGCATCTGGAACAGAGTAAGTGTTCAATAAACAGTGAATAACTATACTACATGTAAAAGATGACACTAATCCAGTCTCTTTGAGAGGGCTGACCTGTGTTTGAAACAAACCTAGTTAAGGAGACCATTCTAGATGAAGGTGTATGTGAGGCTGAAAGAGCTTTAAAATCTATTTTTTTTAAAAATAAGCATACGTGTCATTGAAGCTTTCTTTGACTAATTACTTACTATCTCTGACCATTTCTTATGTAATTATTATAGGTAAAATTCTATTAATAAAAATCTCCAAGAAAAAGCTTTTCATTCTAAAAGGATGGCTCTCCAATCTCAAGAAAATCAACTTGATGGACATTATCAAACCTAGGTTAATAATAGTAGCATTTAGGCACAGCTCAAAGTTCATTTTAATCAGAGCCAATCTCCAGGTAAAACTTGGTGACATGAAGGCACAAATGTTATTCTGCAGGACAAAAAAGGAGGAGGTCACGGTCCTTGCAAGGACCCCAAAGTGCTGAGAGTGTGGATCCGGCTGGGCTGAAGGAGCAAAGGCAGAGTTACACTCTTCTCAGGGAGAAAAGTGGCTGGTTGGTTCCTGTTCGTTTCCCTGACTGCACTGTGAAAGCAAAATTTACAGGCAGAAGTGGAACAAAAGGCAAAAATAACACGTCGAGTTATCTGGAGTCGCCCCAAATGCTGCACGTAAAAATAGTGTAAGTGGATTTGGCTCACGAGAACAGAAGCAGTCAAGACAAAGTGCTGATACTGACTGAAAATGTCAGGCTCCGCTACCGCTGGTGTTTTTTCTTTGATGCCCGGGTCAAAAGAACGAGACAGGGCTGTAAAGTAAACAAGTTTAAAAATAGAAGTTGAAAACATTTCCACCCCAGGAGGTGCAAGATAGAAAATTCTCTTTATTGATGTGTAACTGACATACAATACCGAATTAGTTTCGGGTGTACATCATAGTGATTCGATATTTGTATACATCACAGAAAGAGCCCCGCAATAAGCCTGGTCATCACCATCCACCGTCGGAAGTTATTATCGTACTGACTTTACTCCTTATGCTATAGATGACGCCCCCATGATTCATTTATTTTTATAACCGGAACTTTGTACTTCTTCATCCCCTATTTTGATTGCCCCTAAACCCCTCCCCTCTCTGATAACTACTGGTTTCCTAAAAATTCCAAAAATGTGTATGGAACCGTAGAAGACATCTTGAAAAAGTTATCTTGAGCAAAACTGGAGGTAGCTTGCTCCCTGATTTCCAACTATCCTACGTGGCTATAGTAATTGCTACCATTTGGTAATATGGTAAGTAGGATGAAAACTGACACACACAGATCAATGGGACTGAACAGAGCACCAGGAAGAAATCCATGTATACATGGTCAATTAGTCTATGACAAAAAAGGCAAAAACATACTATGGGGACAAGACAGTCTCTTCTACAAGTGGTGTTAGGAAAACTGAATAGCTGCATGTGAAAGAAGGAAACTGGATCATTATCTTAAACCACATACAAAACTTCAAAGTGGATCGAAGACCTGAATGTCAGACCTGAAACCATAAACTTGCCAAGAGAAAACAGGCTGTGACATGGATCTTAGCAACCAGTCTCCCCAGGTAAAGAGCACAAGTGAGACCACACCAAACTCAAAAGCCCCTGCCCAGGGAAGGAAACCAGCAGCACAAAAGGCAACCTACGGAAGGGGAGAAAGTATCTGCAAAACCTGCATCCGGTCGGGGATAATTTCCAAACTATATAAAGCACTATATAAAGTGTTAATAACCTTGAGATACAGAGAAGGAGACTGAGGCTGAAAGCAGTCGTCCTCTGCCAGAGGTCACATGGTCCGTGGCAGGACCACAGCTCAGAACCATCAGCCTCCTTTAATCTGGTTCTTGTGGAATATTTGGTGATTTCCTTATGTGGCTGATGACATCAGACTCCTAAAATTCCACTACTGGTAACAATTGTTTAACTGAAAGGCTTTGGTATCTGGTTTCGTAAGTCCACGCCCCTTCTATTATCCATGTTGGTCCTCACTGAGGAGTGAAACCCAGGGACCACCCCTGGGAGCGAGGGATGCTCTGAGTGAGGACCGGAATCTACAGCACGCCTCTGCTGTCAACAGGCCCAGTGATTCGGGGCGAGTGAGTTCAGCCTGTTAGATGCTATTTCTGTACTTACAAAATACATGAGGAACAAGCATATTCTAAAGTTAATATGAATGTTAAGATAACACATTTGCCGTGGTTGGTAAGTAGAAAGCGCACACCATTCCCTGATTACACTTCCCCGATGCACCTCGCATGCCCTGGCAGCAGTCTGAGATAACAGAAGAGGACACTTCGAAGTCAGCTGGTACTATATTTAGTTGATTAAATCATGGAGTGGTAGAGCCACAAGGTCACTAAGATGAGACCCAGCCAAATCCTTTCACTGCACAGCTAAGGAAACCAGGGACCAGAAAATTAACGACCCAGCAATTCTTTGGCGGCACCTCATGACCGGGAACCCAGATCCCTTCCAACTTGGAGTTCACAGCCCCTGCAACTCCATTAACACTCACTCGGCTCCTTTTTGTGAAAGAGAGTTAAAGGTTCTAGAAAACACCCAAGGTACCCCCTGGGACTGACTTAAGAACTACAGTGGGAAATACCTGGCTGGTGGTTCCTTTTATAACCTCACCCAGTCATTGTGGGGTGAAAACTATGCCAGGACCTGGGTGCACTGTTCACAAAATACAGGAGGAGTTCTACAATGGAGACAAGAAAGACGGGACCATACCGATTACGGGCACATAGAAAACTGTGTGTAAAATATGTGTACTTTAGGGTTCGGTTGTAGAAATGGAAGAACCTTGCTGATCACTTAACTAGCCCAACCCATTATTTCAGATCCGAAACACTGAGCCCCAAAGAGGTTAAGCGACTAGCCAGAGAGGCTGTTGTGAGTCATGTCTGAGTCAGAAGGAAGGAGATGAGGTCCTGTCTCTCACTGAAGGCGGGGACATTGTGAAAACTGAAGGAAAGGACAGGGGCAAACACATGAAAACTTGCACTTCCCCTTTTCATGTCAATCTTTAACAAAGGGGCATTGGATCCAACCCATGAAAACTTCCTGTAATTCTCCTTTTCTTTCTAGAGAGGGTATAAAATACCATTCAGGACAATGCCAAGCAGCCATCTTTACAATGGTTTTTTTCTGTTCAAGTCCTCAGCGAAATACACCCGTGTGCCTGCTCCAGGAAGTCAATGAATATTTTCCGATACAATTGAGACTATTACCACCATGGTGTGTTAAGTACTCTCCTAATTGTTTATGCTCAAAATGGCTCCAGGGTTGAACGATTTCTACTGTTTGCAAACAGAGGCCTTTTTGTTCATTCACCCAACAAATATTTGCTAAACACCTACTAAGCCAGGTCCTGTGCTGATCCTTAAATCAAATCAATGTAAGTCCTGCCCCTGCAGAGCTTGGAGGCCAGAGACAATAAGTAGGTAAACACCAGTCAATTACGAAGTTTTGTAGGCACCGTGGAATTTTAATAAGACCACAGGATAATGAGGGGAAGTGAAGGACAGTACCTCTGGAACAGTTACAGTGAACTGGGGCCTGGAATTGGGCGTCAGCCATGTGAGGAGGGGAGAATCAGGAAGCAAGCTCCATTTTCTTTTGGTGCAGGTACTGAATCGACCAGAGAGAGGTCGGCACCTAACTTCTTGGAGGCTCCAAACGAGGCTGCTTTCCAATGTACAGTAACAGCCTAAGACAAGGAAGTGTTCTGCACAGCTGAGAGGCAGCTTCATCAATAAAAACAGGAGGAGGAAGAGCTAACATCTACTGAGCACTTACTGTATGCCAGGTGCTGTCCAGTCATTGAATTATCTCAAAATTCTTATACACACTGATATTTTCAATTATATCTCAGATATAGAATATTGGATAAATCTTCTGCCTTAGGTTCATGGGAGAGGTTAATGATTGGGCTGAGGATGGCCTGCCTTTAATTCGTTGTTTCCTTAGCTATTTTTAATAATGCATATCGAGAATCCACCAGCAAGACAAAAGACCCTGACAAAACCCACATCGATGCACATGACCCCCTGCACCCAAGGTAAGCATCACCTTTTATCTTGTGTTTAGCATCCCCTTGCTCTCCTTGACAGTTTTATTGCACACTATATTAAAAGTGTACCATTTCCTTTTAGTTACTTTTATCGTTATAAAAAAAGATAACAGGAAATGTAATTTATGACACCAAGACATATTCATAGTTATGCACTGTTGTAATTCATTAGTTTTGACTCTTGCATAATATCACAGTTTATTCATTCACTCTCTCAGTGATAGGCATTTGGGCTGCTTCCAGGATTTTGCCGCTGTGTATAGTGCCGCAATGAATATTCATACGCACATGCATACTCCCAGGCACACCGCTGTTACATAAGGGCGAGCTTACTCTCCGAGCCCAGGAGTGGGCGTGCTAGGTCCCAGGGTGCGTGGTGTGCTCACCTGGGGAAGATACGGCCTCCCACGGTCATCCACGGACGTTCCCACACACAACATACAGAACCTGTGGGCCCACCTGCTCGACACCTGGCATTGCCAGGCTAGAGTTCTGCCCACAGAGGAGGCTTAGAATGGGTAACTACTGGTGGTCTTCATTTGCATTTCTGTGGCCACCGATGATGTCGAACATTTGTTTACCTGTATATGGACCCTGTGTATTTCCTCTTATGTCATTTGCTTTTCTACTGCATTTTCAGTGGCCTTCTCATGGATTATATTTGATATATTTTTATTCTAACGCTATCAGTAGTATATATGGAGAACATCGTCTTGTGTTTTCACTTTTGTTAAGGAATCTTAAACAAATGCTCTTATTTTTAATTTAATCAAGTTTTATCTCTTTTCTAGTCAATGTGTTATTTGCTAGTGTCGTATTAAGAAGCCCCTCCTTTCCGCTTTGTGGAGGAGGGTTCCCTTAAACATGACACTAATGCCACATGGTAAAACTGAGACAACTGTAACTGAACAACAATAAAAAAATAATTCCCTACCTAATAAACCATCAATTTAATTATAGAAAAAAAGAAACCCTCCTTATCCCAAGAACTGTAATATCATTGAATATAAACTTTAACATTTTGTTTTAGCCATGTAAGTTTTAATCCACTCAGAATTGACTTCTTTTTATCTTCTTTATTTTTAAACATGGCACAAGGCATAGGTCCACTTTCGTTTTTTTTCCGAAAGGACTTCCCCGGCTCCCTTTAGCATATAGCGGGCTCTCTGTACCCGACCTGTGTCTCACATCACAGTTCCACTCGGGTCTGCTTCTGACCTGTCTATGCCACTACATCAGCCAATTTACGATCTCTAAACCAAATGTTACAGTTTCAATTACGGCAGCTTAATTAGCCCTGATGACTAGAAGAACTACCTTCCCACTCTACACTGCTTTTTCAGAAGTGCCCTGGCTATCTTCAGTGCTTTACTTTTCCATAAATCCTAAAACCATCTGTGGAAGAGAGAAGACTGTGATTGCTGCTGGACCCATGAGCCAGACTGGGGCCAGAGCGGAGATTACTTCCTGTCACCCTCTCCGAGACTGATCTATCATCCTGCGTGCTTGCCTGCTGACAGGAACCAATCCCGCTCCTGTGTCCCACAGCACGCTGGTTCCCGGAACAAGACATTGCCCGGATCTGGTCAAGCGTACGAGGCATCTCCGGCACCTGGGACTGGTGAATGGACCAGCACTGCTGGCCAACCTGCCCGTTCCATGTGATTCTTTGGCACTTGCCAAGCAGAGTGGAGGGTATTCAAGTCATCTTAGCAGAACTTGCCCCTTTCTGACAGTACCTGTTCCTATCTTTGGGCATAGAGTATGTTTTCATGTATGTCTCTTATTACAGATTAAAATTTAACCTGTAAACCTTGAACATCTTTTATTACTTCTAAGTACTTGATATTCTTTGATACCATAGAAATGGTATCTTTTCATTAATTATATTTTCTCCTAATTGCAGTTCTGCATAATAGCAGAATTTTTTAAATAATAAACTTATATTCACTCTGTGCTGTACTTTCCTATTATTTCAAATATTTTTCCTGTAAATTACTTTAGGGTCTTTTTTCTATAAAGAATCATACCACCTGACAACTATTATTATTATTCTTCCCAAATTACAGGTGAGAAAACGGAGACACAGAAGAGTTAAGTACTGAAATGAAGGCTTCGATGAGCCATCCGTACTCCCACGTACCCTGCAGCATCATTCACAGAACCACGAGGTAGAAACGACCTCCACATCTGTCGGCAGGCGGAATGGACAAAGCAATGCAGTACACGCCAGCAATGGGATATTACTCAGCTATTTAAAAAGAAGAAAATCCTGATGTACACAACAGGATGAATGAACTTTGAGGACATTATGCTAAGTGAAGTGAGGCAGTCGCGGAAGGAAACAGACTTCATGACTCCACTTACAGGAGATTATCTATGTAGTGAAGGTGACAGAGAGACAGGAAGTAGAATGGAGGCTGCCAGGAGCTGGGAGGAGAGGGCACCGTGGAGCTGCTAGTCAACGGCGGGAGAGGTTTAATCATGCAGGATGAAAAAGTTCTAGGGCTCTGCTATACTTACAGTGAATACTGTACTGTACACTGAAAAATTTAAGATGTTAATTTGCATCTTGTTATACGTTTTTTTTGCAATTAAAAAGAGGATAAATAAATTGCTCATAAAAACAGTTAGTAAACAGAACTGAGATCCAAATCTAGGCAGTCTGAATTCTTAATTACTATGTTGCTTACTATCATGCATATCAAGACAATATGCAAATACAGGTATAAAAATTTACATATTTTCTATTCACATATTTAATCGCTTCAATTTTATGCTTATTCAGCAAGAATGCTATTCACTAAGGCTACATACATAATAATTCATTTAAAATTAAAAGTTTACTATCTTTAACTCTTCATATTTACCACACCTAAGAAGCAACGCTCTACTGTTTTCGTCAACAAATGAAATAATTTTTAAAATCCTACTGTCAGAAAATGCTATGTCCCCTTCAGCCAAAGTCAGGATTTGGTAAGATTTTTAAATCAAATGCTCAGCATTATAATAGACATAACAAGTACCACTGAATTCCGACGGATAAAGAGACCAGCTCTGTAAGTCATATATTCCCTTATGAACTGACAATGCAAAACCTGAAGTATTCTGGTAAACCGTTTAAGTGACATTCAGTTCAACTTAAAGAAAAAAAAAACTTTTAAGAAAACAATTTGCCTTTTGTAGTTTATGCAACATATGAAATTACTTTCCAATATCAGTACCTTCTTCCATTTCGTTTTTTCACTAGGACTTACCGCCTGGCAAACGCTGGCGTTTCTGGTTTGGGTTATTCCTCCCACAAAGACCACACAGGTCAGGAAAATGTGGAAGCACAAGTTCACAAGCATGTGCCAGCCCTTGAGACTGATTCGAATCAAACTGTTAAAAAGAAAACATTTATATTCAGGCCAGTAATCTCAAGCAAGACACTATACTTTTTGCCTTCAAGTTAACTATTTCAATAGCATAAAATGCCACATTTCAATGCTTATACATTTAAGAAAACAAATACCATCAGACCGCCAGACACACGCACGTTTTGAGAAATCATTTGACTCAGTACAGATTCTTAATGTTTAACTTGACACATGAAATAAGACAAGTCATATATGGAACCATTGCCCCCACTAAAGGCTAAAGAAATTCTCCATAATAAGAAACATGTGAGCATTTGTTAGATCCGAAGTCTTATGACAGATGAATTACTTGTTTCCTAGAAATTTCTGCAAGGCACCAATCTCTATTTCCCTGAACTGCTACTTCTCAGGGCCTTTCTTCTTGGCCTTTCCTAATAAAATGTTGAAATCTTTCTTTCTTTCTTGTATTGTAATATCAAAATCTCCTCTTGTTTCTTTACTAAATGTCAAGAAATGCCATACAGGTTCAGCTTAAATACATTCTAGGAAAATACATTCTAGCAAAACCTCTTATAAAGTTTCTGCCCAGTGAATTCTTTCAGTTCACTATTTCCTACCATAAAATAAATTTCTGTAGTTCTGCCTCCAATTAACAAAAACCATATCCCGTGCTTAAATGCCACAAACTTTCTTAAAAATGCCATCTATAAAATAAAGAAGATCACAACAGGGAAAAAGTCATAAACCAGAAATAATACCGCAGTCCGGTCCTCAAAGGCATCTTTCCAGGTAACAAGCCTCCACGTGACCTCACCCACCCCCAGCCCATTGCTCCCCACTGGACCTCCCAGCCCCCCTCCACGTGACCTCACCCGCCCCCAGCCCATTGCTCCCCACTGGACCTCCCAGCCCCCCTCCACGTGACCTCACCTGCTGGCTGCTCCCCACCTGACCACCCATCTCCCACACAGACTTCCCACGTTCTCTCCCTGACACCCACCCAGAAAGCTGACTGGATGCTGTGAATGATGAACTGACCATCTCATGTATTAATTATTTATGTCTCAAACTTCACGGAATGAACAAAGCTTGTATGTATTCTAAAGTAACTGTTCTTACTTTGGAAAGATGGCATGGCATACAACCCAAGAGTCATCCTGTTCAAATGTGAAATAAACACCTCTACATCAAAGTCCTGCACTTGTCAAGCTTTAGTTCTTACCTGTGGTGGTACAGGTAACTGACGATGACCGCTAAGAGGCACAAGAGAAGAATGACAGCCGTGGTGTAGACCACAGGGTGCAGGAGGCCAGCGGCCTGGGTGTAGAGTTCCGATCCTGTTAAGTCCTGAGTGGAGGCGAAAGAGCATCATTCTAGCTGCATGTTTCTGGACACAGAACTACTGCGATTTTCTCTAGTAACTAAGACACATTGATAAACAAGACTCCAATCCTTACATTTCTTCATGGACTAATGCATTGTGCTTTTTTGTCTTACTTTGTCTTCCTAACTTCCACTGTGTTAACTACTCATGGTATGTATATATGTGCACATACACATGCACACATACATGTGCATATATGTGTGTACATGTGCATACATGCATATACTTATATGTATGGGGGTGTGTGTGTGGACACAAACTCTTGTGTTCTACACTCTACTACTGTTGCCCTACATCTGCTCTGTAAAAGTGCTATGAGGCCAATGGAGAGAGAACAGAAGCCTGCGTGTGGGAGACTTAGAAGGGCCGACCAGGCTTCACCCTCTTTAATGTCCTTTCACCCCACTTATCGATCGATCTGCGTATTTACCAGCTGATACGGCAGACGACGGCACCATCTCTAGGTCAACAGAGCTTAATCAGACCTTGCTAACCACCCACAGTCAAGTTGAACAAATATGAATGGACCACACACTGTAAGGCACTGGGGACATAATGGTAAGACATGGTTCCTGTCCTTGAAGAGCTGAAAGTCACAGGGGCGACGGACACAACAAGATCACAACAATGTCTGAGGAAGGTAAGGGCAGCGTGGTCACGGGAGAGAAGTGTTTGAAAACCAGTTAGTGTGAACAGTGACAGCAAGTCACTTACATGGCATTGACCATAATCTGGGCACTGTGCAAGCACTTGGTAGAGTAACCGCAGGAGCTAGATCATAGGATTAGCCCCATTTTATAGCCTAAAAAACTGGGGCATGAAGCGGTTAACTGCTTAAGGATTAGATCTGGAGGAGGGTGGCTGCCAAGTCCATACCCCCCACACAGTGTAGACAGCACCCCCCAAAGAGGAAACAACTGACATCTTAAGGCTTCTTTCCTTGTAAAGGACCAGTGCGGGCCGGGAAAAAGCCTGCATCCTGGAGCCGGCCACGGTGTCTGAGAACTGGGGCAGCAGGAGTCGAAGCTGTCCGCTCACCACACCCTGCCACTAAATTATCTTTGCAAACAGACTGGGGGGTAGATGAAAAAAAAAGGATGTGAACGATAAGGAAAATGAAGATGGTGTGTAGGGAAGGGGATATTCCCCTGAAAGAATCTTTTTTATTTATACCAGAATAGCCCCTCACTGGACCAAATGATGAACGGAGACCCCCAGAGCCCCACAAACATCACAGTGAATCGGAAATTAATGGCACGGCATGGAAAATGCGTACCCCATCGAGCTGCAGTGAGTCTCAAACCCAGAACGCGTCTATGCCTTTGATGAGTGAGTGCCCACCGTGAACAGGCGCCATGCCAAGCACCGGATCCTTAGGAAAACACAGAACACAGGCACAGCCCTTGAGGGCTGACAGTGGGTGAACGGAAGCCTATCACCAGGAATTTGGAACAACTGGCCCTTGTGAGATGCCTCCAAGATTAGTCTGTGGTGTGTGGTCTCAACGTATGTGCATTCTGGTAACGATCCAGATTGTTAATGGGAAAATGGAAAAAAAAATGGAACAGTGAGAACCAGTGAGATACTCGTTAGGAGCAGACACGTTCTCCCTCAATTCCTATGAGAAGTGACTATTCCTGTGCAGAATGAGTAACAGAATAAACTTTCAATACCTAGAAGTTAGCCTCAGGGCCAGTTCCATGCACTGCCTGCTTTGCATTCCTCTGGGAACTGCCCAGTGACATGCAGCCACTTCCTTGCTAGCCATTTAGTTTGGGGGCAGTTACAGTGGGAGACACCCCCAACCTGTTAGGTTTGGGGTAAGGGTCAGAGGAGGGTGTGTGCCTTCCACAGACCTTGGCAGAGAGTAATGCACGAGGTACCTGGATATTATCTAGTAAGACATCAAAGTGCCCATTCAGTTCCCAAAATATATTATATAGTGTATACAATGTCTATGCTTCAAAGAAATCAGCATTTTTCTGAAGCCAAATGAATGTGACGTCGTACAAGAAAGAAAGCAGGTTTTGAAACAGAGGCCAATGACTCCTAATTCAAAGTCGCGACTGGAGAAAAGCACAAGTCCTACGTCCCTGGTCACAGAGGGCACTGCTTCTCCAGGGCCAATCCGGGTTGTCACAACAAATTGACCTGCCCAAGTGCAAGAGACCCCCTGCCAGAGAGTAGATGTTTCAGGCTTCGCAGGCAAGAGGCGAACCGAGGCTATTATGTAGGTACTTATTAACCACGAACCATTAAACAATTCTCAAATCACTCTTAGCTTTCCAGAATTAAATAAAACAAACAAACCAGCAATGACTCAACTGAGCCCATGGGTCAAATGTCTGCATTGACAGGCCCCTGGTTCAGGGAGAGCAAATAAGATACGAAAAACCTATCTTGATGGCAACGAATTCTTGAGAATATAAGACTGCTTAAGACAGTTGAGAAAATAAGGACAGGAAATATGTTAGGGGTCCCAAACAAAAGAGGTAAAGCAGAAATCTGAACCAAAATCATTTTTCACGGTACTAGTAAGCAGATACAGGCTTCGTGATCCTATAACCAAAACATTACTAAATGCACTGTGCCAAAATGGCCACTAGGAGACGCCCACGAGAAGAAAAAGTGAGACTGTCATTCACAGACGCAAACAGTGTAAGACAGGAAGCCTCTGAGGCCAGTGTCTACAACAGCCCGTCACTGAACTACATGGTGACCCAGTCACTCTTCTACATGGTCACGTCTGTGCAGATAACGGAGCTAGGCACTGAGAAGCCCAGTGGTCCAGAAACACTGTGCAGTATCAGAACACTTGGCGGTGTTAAAAATCAGAGATCATTATTACTGAGGACCCCATAAGTGAAAGACGGACTGATAATATTTGTTTTCTTGACAGAGATCCATACCTTTTCAGGTTATCTCTAGCCTGAGAATTACTACATATAAAATATAAAGTCTCTGGCATTTTTAAAGAATTCATTAGCATCTCATCAATAACAAGGATAATTATAAATCAGTAATTCTCTCTAATCTTGCCAGGATCCGAAGAAGTTAAATATATATATATATATAAAGGTACTCTCTGTCAGAACATAAAGAATTACAAAAAGAGCTTACCAATAAATTAAAATGTAAAAACAGATCTGAAATCAGAAACAAACAGTTCCCCCAAGACACAGAGAATAAAGACTGTGCCCGCCCCCCCCCCCCCCCCCGACATCACTATGTACACCAAGTCACTTCAACTCCACTCAGGGGCCTGAATGGGAAAGATTAAACACTCAAACAAACATAAAAAGCACTCGCTATTAAAAAAGACAACTTCAGGAAAATTAAGAAACTCTGTCCATGAAAAAAAATTAAGAGAAAAAGGATAAAGGCATTTCTACAGGCTAAATGTGTGTGCTCCTCTCATTCACATATGTTGAAATCTATTCCCCAGTGTAATGTGTTAGGGGGCGAGATCTCTAGGAGGTCATGAGAAGGCAGTCCTCCCAAATGGGATTGCTGCCCTTACAAAAGAGACCCAAAGAGCCCCCTCGTCCCTTCCCACATGTGAGGAGAAAAACTGGGCTCTCATCGGACACTGAACCTTGGTCTTGCACTTCCAGCCTCCAGGGCTTCGAGAAATAAATTTCTGGGGTTTACAAACTCCCTAGCCTGTGGAATTCTGTTACAGCAGCCTGAATGGACTGGCAGAAGACATCTGCAACACAAAAATCCAACAAAAACTTCTGTTCACAGTTCATAGCAAGAATCCCTATAAGTCAATAAGTAAACAGTAGACAGCCAAACTGAAATAAGCAAAGACATATGTGAAATCTGAACGAAACACAACAAAATAAAAACAAGAACCCTCATAGACAAAGAGGAGAGAGGCAGAGGGTTGGGAGGGTGGGGGAACTGGATAAAGGGGGTCAAAGGCACAAACTTCCAGTTATAAAATGAGTAAATGCCGGGGATGTAAAGTACAACATGATGAATAGAGTTGACATGGCTGCGTACAGTACATTTGGAAGTCGATGACAGTAAATCCTAGAAATTCCCATCACAAGAAAAAGAGTTTCCTTCCTTAAAATTCTTAAGAGATCGTGGATATTCAGTAAACTTATCGTGGTTATCATTTCACCATATGTATAAGTCCTTATGCTATACACCTTCAACACACCCAGAGCTGTATGTCAAAGAAAAAAGGAGTCAACAATAATTTTAAAAAGGTTAAGGCTTGAGCGAGAATGTCACAGAAGGATACCCAAACTGACAGTAGGAAACTGAAGAGGTGCTTAGCACCACTGGTCTCCAGAGAAAGGCAAATCGAAACCACAACGATGTATCATAATTCCAGCACCAAAGACTACAATTAAAGACTCAGAATACCAAGCACTGGGAAGGATGTGAAGCAACGAAAACTCTCATTATGGGTCAGACCGTAAAACCAATACGGCCACTTTGGTCAGCTGTGAGGTATTATCTACTGAAGCTAAAGATAGGGATAGCCTACAATCCAACAATTTTATTCCATCAACAAATATGTACATGAGTAATAGTAGCATTTTCTTGAGAGCCAGAACCTAGCATCAACCTGAATGTCCACCCACAGTGGAATGCTTGAGTTTGGGTATTTTCATACAATGGAGGACTAGGTAGGAATACTGCTACATGAAAAAAACGATATATCTCCCAGACCTCTGTGATGAGAAAGACACTGGACACACAAAAGTACCTACTGTGCAATTCTAATGATACCAGCAACCTCACTGTGACTGGCATCAGAAGGGTGCACATCTCTTGACAGGATGATGGGAATTAACTAATAAGAAACATGGGTGAGCTACCAAGTGCATGAAGTAAGAATCTCGATTCTGATGGCGACAAAATGTGTTTTCAATGGAAAAATATCAGAAAGACACACATTTAAGATCTGTGCGCTTTGCTCAATATCTCAATTTAACAAAAAAAAAAAAGAAAGAAAGAAAAAGTGTTGGTTGATCCCCTGTGACTACAAATTCCACTTAGGAATTTATCCTGCAAGATTTCCTATTAAATGTGTAAAATAATACAGTATAAGCAAATTATTGGAAATAAAATAAATAGGTCAATATTGCTTCTCGGCCTTTTGGCTAAGATCAAGTGTAGGAATAGGTCAATAAATTATAGGAGGGACATAAAATAATATTCAAAGATGAAAGCAAATGAGGAAGCTCTTTTATACTGATGTGAGATTTAGAAAGGAGATTTAGCAAAGATTAAGAACACAAATTTCTGAAATTTGCATTCAAATCTCAATTCCAGTGCTAACTAAATTTGTAAACAGTGGCATACTGCTTAAGCTCTCTATGCCTCAGTTTCTCCAACCACAGACAAAGTTGGGAGGGGGAATGATAACAGTTACTACAGTTCATGAGGTATTATGATGACCACATAACTTAACACACATACAGACTTCAGAACATGCGCTGAGTGAAAATTCGCCCCTGCCATCTCCACTAACATAAGGTCTCATCATCAAAAATCTACTGTCCCGTGGAACCATCATTATCATAAAACATAATTTCATTAAAAAAAAAGCCTGGTTTGCAACAATGTTTGTAGCATGCAGCCTTCCTGTAAAAATGGAAGGAAATGTATTCATTTTGTTTTACTAAACCTGAAACTCTCTCCAACAATATTCAAGAAACTGGTATTAGGGGCTGCCTACTTTGTAAAGACTGTGACAGAAGACAGAGGTGGAAGTCAAGTCTTCACTATACTATATATTAATGTACAGGAATGTATACTATATATTACTGTGAGGAAATAATTAAAATGCCTGCTCTGTCTGAATGTAGCACCTACTTAACAGAAACATGGCTACAACTCATGTTCAATTACAGAGCAAATGGAACCAAAGTTTGCCTTCATTCAGTAAGTTTTACATACACAATATATAAAAGCAACATTAGCGAGATGTAAAGACAAATGAGCACTCTCTAGTTTTATATATTTCTAGGTGAATACAACAACAAGTGGGAATCAAAGTACAGAGGTTATCTTACCTTCACTGCCATTACCATTAAAGCATCAAGCACTACATAAGCGTTTGACCCTAATCATTACCTTCATGCTATTTATGTTTCTTCTTTTTCTTACTGGCCCAGGTCCTAGAATTCTTACCAACAAAACTGGCTACCTCTGATCATCCAACTCAAACAGACCCAATTTCTGCTTAACTTTAAACTTGGTCTGTGGCTCCCACAGACACCTTAGCAGTCTGTCTACAGCACTGAATTACGGTATCTGTTTGAGATTTACAAACAAATATATTCTTTTTGTCTCAGCTTTTAATACAAAATTTTTTAAAACCAGATCAGGAAAAGATTTATGCACTACCTGAAAAAAAAACCAAACAGAAATGTAAGACTTACTATATAAAACCATACATTAAGATACAAGGTTTTTATCTATCATTCAAAATAGTGTTAGGTAAGGAAAAAAGATGTTGATTTCCAAATTTTTAAAGGACATTTCTTGTATTTTAAATATTATTTAAGAGTAGGTATGACTTCATTTAACTGCCGTTAATGTTTAATTAGCAACTCTAAAAATCCCACAAATTTTATTCTACATTTGTCAATAATATCAGGTACATTTCACATTGTGGTCTCTAGGTGGCAGTTATATTTAAGAAAAGCAAAAGAAAGAATATTCTTTAAAAATAAATTTTAAAAAATCTTAGTACTATCTTTTTGCTGATAAGCATTGTATTTTGTATTTTTTAAAGATTAAAGTATGAAAGATAAAAGAATAATTTATTTCTTCTGAAAAGGGATTATACTAATTTAAATAGTTTAAAAGAACAGCTAGGAAGTTCAAAAATAAATGTTTTAAACTGGTATTCAATTAAATAAAAACAAAAGTTTCATACGGTATAGTATGTCATTACCAGTGAAGCTTATAAAATGCATTTTATGTGTGTTTTGTGTTTCATTTATTTCCCCAACTTCTTCTTGTTAACTATTATATAAATTTCAGACAATGCTGGATCTCTATTATCTCTCTTTCAGTATTTCATAGTTTCTAGTTATTTTATAACAAAAACCTGAATGAGAAAATGCTTTTAAACTGAAAGAGAAAATGCTTCATATTTCCATTCATGCTTCATGCTTTAATCAGAAAGGTTACTACAAATTAATAAAATGTGAACATACAGAAACCAGACTCACTCTTAACAGAAATCAAACATCTTCTACTTGTGAGGATATTCCTAAATTAGCAACACAAACTGATCAACAACTTCCGTAAACACAGCTGAGTCTAAACACTATGACTGTGCTCACTGTCCCCTGGGCTGCACAGCACATGTGAATGGATGTCACTGAATAGGCGAGCCTTCCACCTGCTGAACGCCCGGTTCGCTCTTCCTGTTGGTCGGGTATGCCCGGTGAGGTATATGACAATGAGGAGCAAAGGGAAAAGCAAAACTGGAGGAAATCTATTCTAATTCATGCTGGTTTTAAGATCATTTCCAGTGGTAAAGGCTCCTTATTTTTTCAAGAAAAGAATAAATCACAAAAAGCAAAATGTATCACATTTCAAGACTAGTTAAGGCTTTCATGAAATACTGTCTAGATAACAGATTCAGAGCTGAAGGCAGAAATGAAACGTAGGCGTCCTCACTCCCAGGCTAGCCTCGAGCCATTTCTGAACTGTCTTTCAGATTCATTAGTAATTCCTTCCACTAGACTCTAAATACATGTACAGATACCCTAGGATGTTAGTATCTTATAATAACTTATAATATAAAATAAAAATTAGCATGGCTGATTTCATAATCATTAACTCAGGGATTGGGTTCACAGAAATAATTGATTCATGAAAAGATCTGTCCCTAACATTAATAACTGATTACTTTACCAAATATTAATAATGATAGATAACAGGAAATATTGCTTGATTAGCATTAAAATGGAAAAGACATGATTTGTGTCAATTCAGTTTACGTGACTAAACTGAAATTACCACCAGTACTCTTAATTAGCAAGGACACTAAAGAAAAATCACTGTTCACTGTTTATCTTTGGGCAAATGAGTCACCTCCTGGGTTGAGAGCTGGACTGTGTACACCCAAGATGTCCCCAAATCTGAAGGTCAAAGTCTGCGTGAACTCATTCACTTTCAAAGTTTACTGAAAATGCCTATTCCAGAATCAATCTCATCTACTTCACCTGGTCTAAATTTCTCTTTATAATCAGAATTACAACAAAAATCACCTCTTACTTGAAGCAATCTATGCTAAAAGTTGGGGGATTTTTTTTAACCTTCATCTGAGTTTCACCAGGACCAAGTGAAAAATGAGAAGACTGTGTATTTATGAATGCACAGAACTGCTGTACCATTAACACCGCATAGTTGCTGAGGGAGTAGCACTGAATGGTAGTGATATTCTCGTCCGAGTAGAGGATGTGGCACCCGTCCGACTTCCAGCCTCCTTGTCCGTTCAGCAGGTCGAAGTCCCACTGCGCGGCCACCGCATCGGCCCCGTGCGCGATGCGCCGCAGCGTCACATTAACGGGGACGCGGTGGCCGTCCACATTCACGCCGTCTGGGGAAAAGGGGGTAGTAAGAGGATGTCTGAGACCAGCTTATGTGCAACTGAACGCCAACCTACAGTAACGCGCAGTACCTTTGTTCTGTAGTAGTGGCTCATTAAAACAAGAAAACAACAACAGTCGGCAGTTTAAGGAACAGTGAACACTGGAGTCGCACGGCCCGGTGAGCACGGATAACAACACATGCCACATGCAAACCTATTTTGGTGAGAATCACGGGGGTGACCACCGTACGCCGTTTTCCATCATCCGCCAAGTTTGTGGAGTTCCCCGTGGCTGGAAACAGCTTTCCGTTGCGGAAGGCGATGAGCTGGAGCTTATAGAGCGAGTCGTCAGCGGGTCTGACTTCTCTTTTCTGCTTTGGCGAGAACAGCGATGGTGGAAGCTGAATAGACGCTTCGACTATGGTATTCTGAAAGCATGTGAAAAACAACAAAATCAGGTTGCCGTGTTAGTCTGAGTTTGTGGAAACCAGAAAGACTATTTTAGACAACTACAAATGCTTTCTAATTATACGATGAATACTTTTTAAAATATGTACATAAAAGTTAACAGCTAAAACAATTGATCGGTTCAGTGAAATGTCTGAACACCACATAAAAGCAAAGAAGCAAAGTATAAAATAAAAAGAAAATGCAACTCTATTTCAAAGTTAAAGAAGTAAATAAAAAAAATAACTTCAAACCAGAGTGAATTTCCCCATGATAAGACACATTGCTGAAGCAGACAGCATGAAACAGATCAGGAGCCTCTGATCACTCTTTATGTCGATTTTACGACGACAAAATTTGGTAAATAAGTACAAATGCAGCGTATCACAAACGTGAGTATAATTAATTTGGGATTATGGAACTTTAAGTTGATTTATGATGGATTCAGGCTGTCAAACAGCCAAAGAAGAAATTATGCAAACAAAATAGAAGCTTAGATTCAGCAAATTCTTCCTTTAGAAGTTTCTCTGAGACTAAGAAACACATCATGTTTAGAAAAACACAGCAATAAACAGGAATACCAGAAGACGCCAGCTGATTACTGAATGGTTCGCAGACTTCTTTATTAGGAATTTTAACATTATAAATTATTCAGTGTTCAATAAAAAAATAAATCTATAAACCCAGGAGGCAAATAATTAACTATCCAAAACAAAATTCTCTATTTTAAAAATTTATCACAGTCTTTCCTTTGGCACCAGCACCAACCAACCCCCCACCCCCTGCAATCCAATGTTCACGCTGCTGGGGGGAGTTTCATCTGATGAAATAAATGGGATCACGTTATCTAATTTTAAATGACACTTTGTTTCTTGAAGGATTAGGGAAAACTGCCCCCATGCCCTAAGTACATCACCTCATTTTGGATAAAAATGTCTCAAATTCAGCTTTTAACACTCCCCACGCCACAACCTCTAACCCAGCCACACCGGATTTCTCAGTTTTTGAGCATTCTCTTGTTTTTGGGCCACTGCAAACACTGCACAGGCCAGTGTCCTTGGGTGGAATGCTGTCCTGTTCTGCCTGGCAAACTCAAACTACGCAGATTTAATGTTTACCAAGATCGCTCTGCGGGCAAGGTGAAGGGCAGGTCAGGAAAGAAAGGCGGTTGCGGCCAACAGAAGGACTTCACAAAGTCCTTTTTAAATAGGGCTTTTTACTTTTTATTTATTTTTTGGATGATTAATTTTATCAGTCCTCAGTATACTGCTTTAAGAATTGGTTGCTCCCTCCTCTGGCCTCATTGGACATTCTGCACGTATCTCTAACAAAAGCAATATTTGCAGTACCGCAGTCTGACTCACCGCTCCTCCAACTCGCTAATTTCACTCACCTTTCTAGCCCCCTCCTCATGTTACTAATACTCCCCGGCAGTCATATCTGATAAAGGCAGACCACTGCTTATAACATTAGTAAGTCTGTGTGACATGTTTATTTTCTTAAAACAGGTTCTAATTAGGGTCTCTGGTTGGATTCCCAGTCAGGGCACATGCCAGGGTTGCAGGCCAGGTCTCCAGTTAAAGGTGCACGAGAGGCAACCACACACTGATGTTTTACTTCCTCTCCTTCTCCCTCCCTTCCTCTTTCTCTAAAAATAAATACGTAAAATCTTTTTTTAAAAAAGGAGTTCTACTTAAGCAAGTGAATCATTTTTAGAAGTAGCCTCTGACTGCTGTGTTTAGAGTCATGCTGGGACTGGGCAGGTGAATGAAAGCACCTTGGAAATCTGAACGCTGACGGTCTGAAGATGCCGAGAAAACACCAGAAAGGTTTCACCTAAGAAAATGCATAAAGGGATTTCTACTACTCTCACGGACACAATCTGGCGGGGAAAAGGGGGTATTACAGACTCATTCGCTAATACAGTAAATTTCTATTAAGTGTGCAAATTTACTTTGTGTATGTTAAGTCATTCAAAAAAGGAAAAACACCAATGAAAGGAGGGAAAACTGAGAAAGCATAGATATCTACTAAAACTTCCATATTTTAAAATTCTTGAATACAAAATGAGTCAAAAAGTATCGCTCAGGATAAATCACGTGTTTAACAAATCATAGTAATATTTCCTAAAAGACAGCTGAAAAAGAAAGTGACATCTATAATCTCCAGAAGTCCAAAAACTTTTGCTTCAGAAGTTTAAGCTTTGTAAAACCAACCAAAGAACAACAACGATTTTTAAAAAACCCGGGTGACCGGAGCGCACTTTGAGGAACGAGAGCTCCCATCCAGGCCACGGCATCCCTCTGGTCTCCACACCGTCCTTCTGAGTGGGATAAAGAATCCGACCAAATAATGACCACGGGTTCCTGGGACGCAGGGAGGGTTGCCGGAGGAGCAGGCTTCAGCTGTATCAATAATGTTTCCAGTTTTATAGTAAGAATGTGATACCTCCGTATTTAATTTTTTAAAAGAACTGGTCATTTGTTATGAAAAGGTTAAAATCTAATTTTAAAAAAAATCACTAAGAAAAGCTCATTTAATTTTTTTACACTTATCATGATTATACCTTTTGCCACTTGGCCTGAGGAGGAGGACCACAGAGTTTATAATTTCGTTTAAACATATATTTGTTTTTAGAGCATGGATTACGGCAATGAAAACAGATAGAAATACACGAATTGTAGCTAATAAATGAGGAAATTTTCTCTGAAAATCCTCTAGGAAATACATGTTTTTGGTGTCTAACATTTACTCCTGAAAGCTCACACGCCACCCACGAGGAAAGGAACGTGCGACTTGAAACAAGGAACTGGGACCAGGGTCCCCGAGTCACCGCTTTGTAGCTGCCTAACACTCTGCCCGGTCTTGTCTCCCTCTCTGAGCCTCATCCACCAAACACAGCTCCTGGTCCTCCCAACAGATGGAGGTGGGGACCAAGGGAATCATGACCATGAGAGGAACAAAAGGCTACAGGACCGTGGGTGGTATTTTTATTATCATCACTGCTGCCGAGTGGTGAGCGGTCATCGGGAGGCTGGGGACGAGCACGTCCCTGACTGCCCACAGTGACCCAGAACCTCATCACAGGTTTCTTCTACAATTCTAGTATTAATCTTAATACCAGAAACTGTCAAAGGATAAACACACATGAAATCAATGTTATCCTAGAGCTCTTACAAATTTATTTGCTTAATTCATGTACATGCCTCTATTTACAATGACATTAACCTAAGAAGAAAATGTTAAGTATTGTAGGTAATGTTAACTCTCAAATAACCTCCAGATTTTAACATCATTCCTTACAAAACAATCTGGAGTCCTACCCCCATGTAATTAGTAAATTAAATTTTTCTAACATCCTAATTTGTTTATGTCTACAGAATTCTGACAATAAAATTAGAAAGAGTCAAAGAGCCACCTGATTTAAAAGAATAAAATACCAATTTCTCCATGTTTTCTTGACTATCTACACACTCTGTTTTAAACAGATAGATATAATGACATATCCTAATTATTTCCTTATGTATAATTAGTTTTGAACTGCAGACCACCTTCTGATTATCTCACTGCTAAAGATTAACAGGGATTATGTTTGCCTTTAGAATTAATTTCTTAACTGACTTTCTTAACTAATTAAGTATGACTATTAATTTTTATCCAACAACATTTACTGAATGTTTCATTCCTCTGTGTCAGCACCGAGCAGAATCTAGACGCACGATGAAATAAGCCATGTGTCTGCCCTCAAATATTCACAATTTAACAAGAGAAACACCACAACAAGTAAAAAAAAAACAGTAATAAAAAAAGCTAACATTTATTACATGCTTACTCTGTGCCAGGCACTGTTGTAAATGTCTATACGTGTGCCTCACTTAATCCTCTTAATAACCCTTTGAGTACCACGTCATGATTCCTATGGAACAGATGAGGAATGGACATCAGAGAGGTTAAGTACTTGCCCAAGTTTGCACAGCAGTTACCTGGGGCAGCGGAATGTGAACCTAGGCTGCCTGGCTGCAGAAGGGCCACACTCTGAGGCACCGTCTCCTATGGCCTCTCTCCCTATAACTCAACTCACCATCATAACAGCCTCTAATTACTCTGGAGGAAGAGCAAAGCACCGTGGGACTAACAGGCTGTGATGAACTCTGAGGAAGAACTCTTACAGGGAGGACAGCAGGAATGTCCCCAGGCTGGGATGGTCCCGAGGGCTTGGAAAAGGGCAGAAGCAAAACACTGTACATAACTGGTCTGGAAAATTAAACGGACTTCTTTTGGGCTAAAGCCCTAAATGACTGACATGAGGGAAATGGGAGATACGTAGAGGAAAAACTAATTTCTAAAGTACAGTCAAGAAAGGTTTAAAGAACTGGCTTTTTCTGATACAATACAGCTAAATTCAAAACACTAAAAATTTATAAAAGCTTCTAGAGTACATCAAAAACAGGTAATGTATTGTGATGTTAAACATATCTGAATTATGGTGCGGATGATGGAAAGAAGCATTTGGTTATGAAAATATTTTACTTGGCGCTTTGACAGTCAGACAACAAACTGGCCAGACACCTGGGGCCAGGCGCTGGAATCATCGATGACCTCAGCACTGGCTCTGCCCTCACACAGCCCTCAGTCCAGTGTGGGAGGTGGGAAACCCGTCCAGTCCCATGTGTGACATGTAAGGACAGAGAGATGAGCAGAGGGTTAGGGGCAGAGTGAGGTAGAGAAACACGGGACACAGGATGGGAGGGGAGAGGAAAGGAAGTACAGGATGCAATCAGCTAAGACTCCTCAAAGGTGACATTTTTGCTGGGTGTTAACACACAACCACGGCGCTGGGGAGGCGAGAAGAGGAGGAAGAAATTCTAGCAGATGAATTAACATGAGCCTGGCCTGAGAATGGCCAGTGACTGGGAGACAAGGCAAGGGACATTTGCTGTCACTGGACAAAAGGAAGAGGAGGTAGGAAGAGACGTGGAACAACAGATAAATGACAAATGATGAACCCACCCGCAAGCCAGCCTACAGAGAGAGACAGAAGTATTTATCAGAGGAGGTAGGAGGTCAGTTTCCTCATTGGGTAGATCTAAGATAATGCTGACACTATGAACACCCCGAAGTGATGCACACACTGACCATCAGAATGGCCTCCGCAGAGGGGGAGGCTCCGAGAGCCCTGTGCTCCCCAGACACTGAATGCACCTGGGCGGCGTCCCCGGCAGAAGGGCCAGCAGGCTGCAGAGGTGCTCCAGAGACCGTGGTGGCAGCTACTTGTACAGGGAAGGAAGTACTTCAATAATTTACTAACTGGCACGGTTGCATCGGTACTTGTTGGCCACACAGTAGCCCTAAGTAGGCTAATCTATATGAGAAGGATGGATTTTTAAGGAACAGCCAGAGACATTGAGACTCAATAGGTAACCATGGTTTGGTCAACACAGGATGGAAGTCCCTCCAGACCAGGCTGTGACGCTAAGTAAACAGAGAAGGATGCACGAAACATGCAGAAAGCAACCCAAGTAAGGCTCCCATATGCTCAGGACTGTGTTTCTCTGGGTGTAACTTCCTATGCTAGCATATTTTCCCACTGAAGGGGAGTATATCAGTTATTTCATGTTTGAGATGTGTAGTTAGTGCTATCTTCAAGGCATTAAAACACACACACAAAGCATATAAATTATCCTAATACAAAGTTTAAAACACAAAGTTTTCTGTTAATGTGTGAAAGAGCTGTTGACATTAAAATATTTAACTAACTTTGTGTCACAAAAGACATTCCCCTTTCCCTCAGTTCAGTCACGTCCATATATGAAGCGTGAATGTTAGCGCAGAGCACCCTTGGCTTCTAGCCACAAGAGGATCAAAAGCGAGAAGAGTACAAGACTGACAAATCTGCGTGTTCATTTGAAGCTTTCTACTTTAGAGAGCAGAAACTTTTCTTACCCAGGGGGGCAGGTTTGTGAGATTGATTAAATGGATAGGGTTTCACCATTTTTTAATTCCTTTCTCCCAGTGACAACCCCCTCAGATAGAAGGATTCGTCAATTTTTTAAGTGCTCCTCAAAGACACGCCCCTTGAGAGAGCCCTTTCTCTCAAGGGCTTGTGTGTGATGCTGTCTCTGTTCCTTTTGTGGTACATTTTTACCAGTAAAAACTGCAGTGAGGAGAGGAGCAGGTCCGTGGTGGTGCTGCTGGGGGCATCGGGTGCTCTCACGGAGAGCAGGACATCAAACACATCCTGACACTTGTCCTCTGAGCATGCGGAGCCAAGTAAATACCTGAGCACTAGACATCCTGACCTAGTTGAGACCGTCATGCGTGGTGATGGGAACGGGCCCTTTCTAAATTTAGCTAGGTGGCTTTTCCTATGGAGGTCACCAGGTAAAGTATGACGAAATACATTAATTTTTCATTCATTCAGTATTTATTGAGTCCCACAGTGCATCAATACCTAACACAGGAGATCAATTATTATGCAGCCATTGAAGGGACTGCCATCCTGTTTGTGATATACTTCAGAAATGACAGAAACAAAGAAACCACTTAGTAATTAAAATCCACAGAACATACAGTGACCCATGGCCACACTAAGCAAATGGAGAAAATGTGGTTTCATTAGGAGCTGGATTATTTCCCCACTATTTGCTTCAATGTACTCAAATGAAACATTTCTAAACCCTGAATTTTAAAAATCAGTAACAATGCTTTTAATTTTGCTCACTGCAATAAAACACACGCTTTCTGAAGACATATCATGTTTGACTTCCTTGCCAAAATCCTTGATATACAGGCTGCCTGATTAACCACCCTGTCTCAAGGCCAATTTTCCATTAGGTTCAGTAGGCACAAAGCCAAGGGCACAGAATACTTTCATGTCTTGAAAATCAAGAGCAATAAAAATGAAATTTAAGGTCAAAGAAAATGTTTTAATATGTAACATTAATATAGTCATCTTCTTACCACTGTAGTCAGAAAACAGAACTTTGATATTTTTGTGTGGAGAACAAAGTCCAAAGGGCCAAAATGCCTAGACCCATGAAAACTGTAATGTGATTTTGCAAAGCAAAGCGTTTTGAGCATTCTAGTCTAACTGCAAAAGATCTTAACCAATCACAGACCATCACATACCTTCAGCGCCAGGCTGGAAAACGTATTTGACACGTTGCATTTGAAGCTCAGCTGCTTATCCAGGCCTCCGTCTGGGTCCCGCCTCCCGTAGTCGGAAAGGCCGGTGCGGTCAGAGGCGGCCACTTTCTGGAACACGGTACACGTCATCCCAGAGAAGCCGGCAGCCTTGATGACATACGCTTCCAAGGCGATGTTGGGCGAATACTATGAAAGCCGACCAAACGGAAGTTACAGAAGATTTATCAAATGGAAAGAAAAGCCCTTTCGAAGAATTTTCAGACACAGCACATAAATTAAAAGAGAACTCAGGCTCTGAAGAAACAAAGATCCTATGCCCACCAATGGCAGAATTAAAAAAAAAAAAGAGGCTGAAAACAAAAGGATGTCCCAAAATAGAAAGACATCAGTGAAGAGGAAAAGAACAGGTCATGAAGTGTAGAGAATCGGACAAATTCAAAGTCAATTTAAAATAATTTAAAGAGCACTTGGCAGAAAACTGTGCGCTAAAAATGGAGGGTACTATGGAAAAAAATCAGCTAGAGATATCAGTACACCCGTTACTGGTCAAGTACAGGAAGAGTAATGGGTGTGGGAGATGCACTCGGGAGTCGCCTTGTCCAGCACTTCCGGGCATGTTCACTTTTTGTCTTTTATAGGACGATCTAGTTAACTCTTCACATTACGCTGCACAGATAAAAACTTTACCCAGGCTCACTTCTGTCATTATACTCTAAATAGTGAACCCTAAAATGCCACCAAAAAACTACTAACATTGATATATAAATTCAGAGAAGTAGCAGTACACAAAATAAATATACAAAAATTAGTTGCATTTATATACACTAATAATGAACTACCAAAAAAGGGAAACTGAAAAAAAATTCCATGCACAATTACACCCCCCAAAAAATTCCTAGGAAAAACGCCAAGGGTGTAAAAGACCTAACTAAGAAAAGTTTAAGAGACGGAGTGGGAAAACATATTCACAATGATATATCTGATAAGAGGTTAATATTCAAAATGTATAAAGAACTTACATAATTCAATACCAAAAAAACTAACTAATCAAATTTAAAAATTAGCAAAGGACATGAATAGACATGCAAATGGCCAAGATTCAAATGAAAAGATATTCCATGTTGCTAATCACCAGAGACATGCACACTAAAACCACGATGAGGTATCACCTCACACCGATCAGAATGATCGTCATTAATAAATCAGCAAGCAACAAGTGCTGATGAGGCTGTGGAGAAAAGGGAACCCTAGTGCACTGTTGGTGGGAATGCAGACTGGTGCAGCCACTGTGCAATGCAGTATGGAGGTTCCTCAAAAAACTAAAAGTGGAACTGCCTATGACCCAGCGATGCCACTTCTGGGAATATATCCAGAGAAACCTGAACCACTATATTGAAAGAATATAATGTACCCCTGTGTTTGTGGCAGCATTACTTAGAACAGCCAAGATTTGGAAGCAACCCCAGTGCCAATCAGAACACGAGTGGATAAAAAAGCTGTGGTACGTTCACACAATGGATACTACTCAGTCCAACAAGGAGGGAGATCTTACCCTTTGCAACATCGCAGTGGACCTGGAGAACATTATACTAAGTGAAATAAGCCAGTCAGAGGAAGACAAATACCCTGAGATTTCACTTATATGTGAAATCTACTAAACAAAATAAATGAAGAAAATAGAAATAGACTCGTAGATAGCAAAAAGAGACTGATGCCGCCAGGGGTGAGGTAGGGGAGCAGCATGAAAAAGGTGAAGGGATTAAGCAAAACAAAAATCTCATATCCATAGTATACAGTGTACAGTCACGAGTGTGGTGATTACCAGAGAGAAAGGGGGTGAGGGGAGGTACAAGAGGGTCTGGGGGCTATAAATGGTGATAAAAGGAGACAGGACTTGGGGAGGTGAACACACAAATACAATCTACAGGTGATGTAATGTAGAATTGTATACTGAAACCTATATCATTTTGCTAGCCAATGTCACCCAATAAATTCTATTAAAAACTAAAAAAAGAAAAGGCAGGGAGGTACGAATCTAAATAGTAGTAGATGAATAGCTGTTCAAATTAAGCTGGAAAATCACCTGGAAAAGGTGGTACCTGCCCCAACAATTTTAAGAATCTCAAGAGTGAGACTAAACTCAGGGGCCTGCCTAACGCAGGACACGTTGCCACAGCTGCCACACCGACGTCTGCGGGGCGGCGGCATCGCTCCCACCATCCAAACCGGGCCAGAGGGGGCACAGGAAGGGACAGCCTTTCCCACGCAGGAAGACGACAGAATTTACTGTAATGTCTAACGACCACACAACATCTCTCTGTTTCTAAGAATGGTTAGGTCTGTGCCTACTCCACAGGCAAGGTGCCGTTCTAACTACCACATATGCGCAATGCCCCCTTCATTTTAATTTTAAGCCTAAGGACTTCATTTCTCAGAGTTCTAGAGTAACATCGCACTTACTGTGGAATAAACGTGTGCGCCGTTGGCTAGTCGGTGGGTCGCGATCCGCTGCAGGCACCGGACCACTCGGCTGCAGGCTTTCGCCTCCCGCTGCGCCAGCCACAGGACGCGCTCATCTGCCAGCATGATGTTGCTTGCGATGTCCACCATCACGTCCCCGAGCTGGCAGGCAGGGGGAGAAAAGAAGTAGGTAATGACAGAGGCTGTTTTACACTGTGCAGATCCTCCCGGGACAGGGAGACAGGCCCGCAGCCTCCACAGTCCAGTGAAAACCCAACACCTCTGTACTTGTATCCAGGAAACCGTCTGTGGACATGAACGGCACATCCGGTTGTGGCCTTTTGGTAATTTTAGGGCCAAACAGTGTAAAGTAACCCCCAAATCATTTGTGAAAAGACTGGCATGTGGTACTCAAATCCAGAGTGGGGGAAAAGACATCTACATGATCCCCAAACAAAAAGATCTAAACTCTTTTTGTCGAAAACCACTGAGGAACACTTCTTTGTATGTGTTAGGGTGGTAGTATTATTAAGAAACATCCACTGCCCAGTTCATTACAAACTGGTGCCATTCAAAACTCTAGAGGTGTCCAACCTCAGGAAGGCCCCCATCTACGCAGGGCCATCGCACGTCTTTGCACACGCAGCTTCCTCTACCTCGAATGCACCTGTGCTCCCCTTTAAGACCCAGGGCCACAAAATGAATGGATCTGAAGAGGTGCTCACTTTTGCATTGCTTGTTTTATTAAGTTATGAACTGACCTAAAGAAAAGAACTCATTTACTGAATCCTTTTCATTAGCTCAGATCATAACTAACGGATGTAACCATCTGTCAGCAATGCCAGCGAAAAGCCCATGGAATGTTCATGCTGACTTGTGTGCCCCGTGTCAGAGAAATGCACTGAATGTGCAGGGCTGATGAGACAGACCGGTGTCAGGGGGTTGGTATTGAGCAAAATGTTCAGTGAGAAGGAGATCTACAGCAGAAAGAACAACAAAAGCATCACAGGGGTGGGATCAGAGGATTTCGAAGCTGGCTGGTTCTCTAATCAAGACGTACGCATCAAAGGTGTGAGGCCCCAAAGCCGGGCCAGAAAGCCAAGGCTGTTTCAGCAGAAGTCTTTTGATCATCGCAGAAGATCGGGTGAGCCTCCCAACTCGTTCTGCACCCACTCCTCTTCCCAGGACGTATAATTACGAGGGCTGAGGTGGGCTTGGAAAACACTCAGTCTATCCCACCCAGAGTCCTTCACAAAGACAGGCCTGTGCAATCCCACCAGATGCCAACCCTGGAACCATGCAGTGAGATAACTATTGTAAGAACCAGGGTGAAGAACAGGACTTCAAACCCTGACTCCTAGCTGCGCTGGCCACTTAACCTCGTGTCCCTGCCTTTATTTGGATGATGTGGATAATAACAATCCTGTCTGTTCTGAATATTGTGCAGATTACGTTCCATTAACACACGTAAGGCTCCTGAAACCACGCCTGGCATGTGGCAAGCACTCAAACAAATGTGAGCTCACCTTGTAATTTTATTGCTCTTTTTTTTTTTTTGGTTAACCGCTTGAATCACAGTGTAGGCCCTCTTTGAAAATTACAGGCTCTAGAAGTGTTAGGAGGGGGGCGTTTTTAAAGTCTGTGTTCACATTTAAACTGGACCAATGTGTCCAGCAAAACTGCCTTCTCCTCCTCACCCCGCCACCTCATCCAATTAGAAAATCAGTCTACTGACTCTGCACTGCCCTTCACAAAGTGTATCGCAAACTCTTTATTTTCAATGTGAACACCCTGAGGGCAGGGGCAACTCAGTGTCCTACTTACATTTACACCCTCATTCATAGTATAACCCTGGTAGGAAAGCCGATGGTGTACAAAACTCACTCACTCACTAACAAAATATTTACCGAGGGCCCAGGTGAGACAGACACTGTCCTGAATAGTGGGGAAAACATGCAAGCTCTATTTTGGAGCTTACAATCTAGTGAGGAAAACAGGAAATAAATGCATTTTTAAAAAGTGATTTGCATTATAGCCGTGATGAAGGAAATAAGCAGAGGACTATATAATAAAGAGTAATGGAATTTAATTCAAATACCTCATTTTAGTGGACTCACACACTGGCAAAGGGCATTTCCCCCAAACCCAAGACATCAACAGCATCAACTGACAGAGAACAAGGTAGCACCTATCATGAAGCTCTGCAGGATCCCCAGCCTGTCTGCAGGATCCACAAGACACCAGCATCCCAGTACTGATCCTAATAAACAGGCACGGGGTTGAATTTCTTCCCAATGGAAGTGCTTAGGTCTGAAGTTATGAAGAACCGTAGGGCCTCCAATATGTCAATTACTACATTGATCAGTCAGCTGTCTATACAGCAATTAGAAAAATAATGACCACCTCTCAACAGGAGTTCCGAGCAGCTGAAATAATTTGGCTATGTTTTTATTATTTTTACCTATTATTTACCTATTATTATTTCAAACTTTCATACAAAAATGAATAGGGTAAACCAGGCTCCCTGGCTCTCAAAAAAAAAAAAGAAAAGAAAAGAAAAAGAAATTCCCATTGGCTGTAAAAACTTCAAAGAAAAACCGCAGGAAAACACTGATTCTACTCCAAGGGAGCATTTACAGATTAGCACAATTACTAATAGACTTGAGGTTTTAAATATACGAACTTTATGGAGATGTGACATGAGACCTGTCTCCATACAGCATCTCTACTGAAAAATGATGATGATTACAGGATCAAAGGACTCCTGTGGCTACTCGATGATGCCAGTAACGGCGTTTAAAGTGTTAAAAGTCATAAAGAAAAGAAATACCTCTAAGAAGGTATGCAGTTGACCAGAGAGATGGTCTTAGCTGGGAAGAAGCAATGTCTCTCATTATTTCACTAAATGGCTAAGAACTAAGGAGAAAGACTGGATGCGAACAACCCCCCCAGGGCAGGTGATGGTAAAATGCTGTATGCTTGTGTAGCTGGGTTACGGAAGCAGTTCTGAATCCATCACAGTGACAAAAAGGACACACACAAAAATAACGGCGCATGAAAAATTACACCGGACTAAAACAGTATTCCTGAAACCTGACAAAGAGCTTGAAAACCACAGCCAGCATCCCAAAGCCATTGTCCCCTTGACCTCATTCCCTGAAGGCCATTCCAGCCACAGGAGGTCAGAAGGAATCTCGCACCTGCTCGGCCACCTGTCTCACTAAACGGTCAGGGTGAAATGAATATGCCTGTGAACACGCCTGATCAAAGATAAAGGGTAAAGGATGAAAATGCCACATTAATAACAATGAAAATGTTAAATGTCATCTGTTTTAAGAGACAGGATAGTTCTTGCTCTTCTCAGTACAGGGGTGGGCACAAGTTGTTCGTACGGAAAAAGATGCGCAGGTTATGACAATTGCCATAGCTGAATAAACTGTTTCACACAGTCACGATTGTAAACCTACTACTTTTGCCCACCCTTGTTTGGAATTCTGATCAAAATTAGACCAAAATCATCTAAAAATTTCATGCATTTGATCGGCTAGCATAAGAAATACATAAGATGCTGTATGAACTAAACTTGATGATATTTCATTTTAATGTAGTAGGAGCAAAATGTAACATTGAAGGCAGAATGTCTGCATGTCTGGAAGTTAAATATTTCTGGGTTAGGATTTCAACTCGGTCCCAGGTCAGATGTCCATGAGCAAATTATCAGCCTCTCCAAGACTCAGTCTGTTCATCTGTAAAATGAGATCAAGAACCCTATGAAAGGTGGTTGGAACACAGTAAATTAGGAGGGAAAAAAGAAAAGAAAGCAGAAGACAAACACCTGCATTAAGCAATCCATGTCTGTCTTTTTTTTTTTGAGAAAAAACAAGGAATCCAGACCTCTTTAGACCCCTCCCCACACTTCCACTTTCAAGCCTGAAGCAGCAGGAGGTAGGTATCCTTGTTGGTTCTTATAGCCAGGAAAGCAAGAACTGCAGACGCAAGTGTGTATGCGCAGCAGCAAGCCAGGCAGCTGCTCTGGGACCACTAAGACAGAAATGGGGACCACAGGAATTGACATGTAGTCCCAACTTGACTAAATAATAACCATAGCAGCAGCTGATATTATGAAAGTTCAAGATTCCTCATTATTTTCTCCTAGTTACAAATTAGCACATCGAGACGGCACCTATCTTATGGCACGTTCTCCTCTTGATTACTTTTAATGAAGAAACTGCTCTTCTGTGAAAGTCAAGTTTTAAAAGCGTTCATTTGTCACTCTTAACAAGCCCTAGGGTCGTGACGGTGTCCGGTTCCACTAAGGCTTCTCTGCAGCTGGCTCCCGGGGGCTGCCGCTAGTCAACGAGAGGCCTCCTTGGGGTAACCATCGGGACCCAGGGCAAACAGCAAACCTCTGGTTTTACTGGGGCACAGAGGTAAAGGGAAGGAGGAGGAAGATGGTGAAGGTGGAACTGGAGAAACAGGAGAGAAGAGAAGAGGGGAAAGATGAGATGCTGAGAATAATGTTGCATGTGTTCTTCATCCCCTTCCAGGAAGGATTTGAGGGAGCCTAGCAAAAGTTTAAAAATAATTATTTTTAATTAAGAACGCACAAATAAAGAATGGGAAATACAGACACAGGAGAAGAAAAAGAGCCTTGGCCAGGTGGTGCAGGGGGTTGGAGCAGCATCCTGTACACGGAAGGGCTGCGGGTTTGGTCCCCAGCTCCCCAGTCCGGGCGTGTACAGGAGGCAACCTAACAACGTTTCTCTTTCTCTTCCTCCCTCTCTAAACTCAATACACATACCCTCAGGTAATGATTTAAAAGAGGGAGAAGGAGAGAGAGGAAAGAGACACAGACGAGTTAAAAATATGTATCAGAGGCAGAGCTGCCATGACTGGGAGCAGTTGGTTCTTGATATGTTTCCAGTCAAGGCAGTGAAGGTAGTTTTACAATTATCAGCAGAAAGGGGACCACTTCCTCCAGGCAGATGAAGTTGCTTTAGTGGCAGAGTCACAAAACACTTGAGGTACACCAGTCGGGAGAGGCAGGACTTCTTGGGCACCGACCCCAGCCACACCTTCACAAGGCCTGGAAAAGCTTAACATCTAAGGTTCTTCCACCCTCCCCCTGGAAGCAGATTTTGGTTTTTTTCTGAGTACAAACATGTATGCGCATCTCCCTTTTCTGGAAGAATGGCAAACTAAGTACTCTGGACAATTCTCCTGCTAAAAGAGAAAAATGCTGAAGAGAGAAAGTTATCTTTCTTTTTAACTTCGTTTTCTGAAGTGCACTTTATTGATTATGCTATTACCGCTGTCCCATGTTTTGTCTCCTTCACCCCCCTCCCCCCAGCACCCCCACTCTCTTCACATGCACCGCTGACCAGGCAGGAGACCAAAACCCCTCCAGAGGCCGGTGTGGGAGCCCCGGGGGTGAACCCGGCTGACCAGGGACTGTGCTGTGGCTGTGCTGTGACGTGCACACAGGGCCTCGGACCTACCAACTGCCTACGGGAGAAGGTGGGTGCGTGAGCTGATAACCAAACAGGGTACCTCCAGGTCAGGGCAAACCACCAGGCCACCAGCCCCGCCAAGAAGGGGGCAACGAGGAAACTTGAAATGTGCCTGCCCTGACCTCGTCCCAAGGGAGGGGGAGGTAAAAAGTGATTTCCCAACAACTTGCAAACTCCAGTGGACCTTCACATAGGCCTGAGCTTCACCTGACTCCCATGGTCTGAAAAGCTTCCAGCTGAGAACTCGTGTCAAAGCAACCTGCTACCCTGGTACTGACCCTTGGCGCTTGGCGAATCAAACAAGTGTCACCCCTGATAATGATAAACTAGACCAGTCACATTAATATCTGTTACCAGCCATGCATAACCAGAACAACAACAGAAAAGCCATTTTATACAGGAGCAGAAAAACTGATTGTTCTTTTTTGGTGACATTAACACTCTGTCTACAAAATCCCACATACTAAATAAGGCAACCAAAAATAAGGTCTACAATAAAAATAAAAAAAAAAACATAATCAAGGAAAACTGAACATGGACTAAATAGTTGATGATATTAAGGGCATAGACAGAAAGGCTCATTTTGGTGCCATAATAACAATATCATGGTTCTATTTTAAAGTTCCTTATATTGCAGGAAATTACGGGTAAGATATGACATACAGAATTCACTATTAAATGATCCAGAGAAAGAAACAAGAGAAGGAGAAGGGGGGGAGGGAGAAGGGTGGGAAGGAGGGAGGGAAAGAGGGACAGAGAGAGGGAGGAAGGAAGGAAGGAAGGAAGGAAGGAAGGAAGGAAGGAAGGAAGGAAGGAAGGAGAGGGAAGGTGGGTAAAAGAAATACATGGATCAATGAAGTTAGACTGGTAAATACTGAAAGTTGTTGAAGGTCAAAGGTATAACATAGATATTAACAAAAACATTCTCTCTCCTATACTTTTACCATTTTCCAATTAAAAAAATTATAAAAGCTGTTATGAAGTTAAACCCAAAGGAAAAATGGAAACTAGGTAACTATAGCATACAAAGTCTCTATTGAGGTTCTCGAGGCCCCTGCCTTTCTCAGACACGCCACCCAGGGTCCCTGGAACTTCACTAGACACGTGAACTCTCAGGCCCCCTGCGAACTTTGTGTAGCAAACCCTCCAGGTGATAAAGTTTCAGGGTCAAGTTTGAGAAACTGTGTCCAGGAACGGATCTACACAGCCAGCAAACTGGGTCTTTGAAAAGATGAACAATACAGAAAAGCCTGACAAGATGAAGAAAAAAAAAATCAGAAACGTGGAAAGTACACAAGAAACTCACCAGCCAATACAGAGGTTATCACATTTTAAAACGAATGAATGAACTGTATCCATTGTTTAAGCCTGCACATAAAAATGCGCCAAATGACCTCTGTAGTGAACTGCTGCCAGGTGCGAGCCTCACTGCCATCTCTCGCCTGGAGCACAGGCAGGGCGGGGACTCCAACACACTAATGTCGTCCCTGCTGCTCTCCCAGCCACTGACATGGAGGCCTAATGTCCTCAGCACTCTGCGAAACACGGAACACACGCATATGCTGCCTGACAGACAACCTTCAGCTGTTTTTTAGACCCTACTAAACGCGCCGCTTAGGCCTGGCGGTGCGACAGCTTTTCACACCAGCCCTACCCGCCAAATCCCAGCTTGTGTGGGCACAGTTCGATCCCGAGTTAAAAGGCAACTGTTCACAGTATTGCGGCCGTGACATTGTCCATGGGACAGTCGCTTTTTGGACATAAGACAAAAATCAATTTAATTACTTGTCCAATTGAGCTACGTGCATTTTAGGATGCCCGAGCCTCGGTTTACGCTGTAGTGATGGCCGTCCTCAGCCGTCCTGATTGCGTCTCACAGTCCTAACAAACGGTGAAAGGCATGGCCTTCAGTTTGACTTCCCAAAGAACCAGACAGGATGTCCGTCACGGCACCAAGGGTAATGCTGCCTCTATACTTCCGTTTTCCGGTCCTGAATATGTTCCTCTATTTCTCCTGCTCGTATTTAACAATTAGTTGCTATCGTTTGTTTCCAAAGATGCTCGATTCAAACTTTACCTTCCACGTCAACCAATGAAAGTGACAGAACTCTACATCAAACCATATGTTTCTAGAGAAGTAACTAGAACACTGATTGTTTTAAGGACCTCATTCTTAGCTTCTGAGATCATCACAATGTTAAATTTCCTCACCCTATAAAATCACGTCCTGGCTTTGCAACTACTGCACAAAAACGGTTTCGCCTGTATTTTCTCACGTGTGCACTCATTTTGCAAGTTAAGCAGGGCAAGTGTCCCTCCTATTTTTAAAGTAAAGGGCCCAAGGTTAATGAATGACTCACGAAAACAGATTTACCTGCAGCCATCAACGTGACGCTGTCCGCGAAGCACATTCCAAAGCAGCAGACCAGGCACACCACACACTAGTAAACACAGTGCAGTGCACACCCCCAGGCACCACGCCGCTCTTCCCGACCTGCAGGGAGAGCAAAGGCCCTCACCTCGAACCCGGGAGGCATGGGGATAACTATGTACTGTATGGTGGCAAAATCTGTTTCAGTGTGCACATTCCCAATGTCATTCCAATTACTTTAGTGACTCAGAACATCCCACTTCCACAAATGACTTGTAATCCTGTGGGCAGCAAACCTGTGATTAGACTCAAGAAGGGACAGCAGAGTTACCCCAGAGCCAGAATCCAGGCAGCTTCTCCCACGGCAGAGAAAACTTACCACAGGGAGTGGGCTGTGGCCAAGACACAATCAGAAAGCAGGAGAGCTCATTACAATATTGTGATCTGAGGTTCAGATAACAAGCCTGAAACGTTATCTCATTACCAAGTGGCCCCTTGGCCTGAGTCGTCTGGACACACCAAAATGTATCTATTTTCTTTCCTTTAACAGCTACATCATATCAAGTACGGCACCTAATGTACTAGGGCTGAGCTTCCAAAACTTACCTTCAAAATGCAAGACATTGTACCAAAAACATTCCTGGCTTAAATGACAAAGGGAAACAAGGCTTAGTTTTTTTATGTTCTAACATATTCATGATTCTGAGGCGTCCTACATATGGAGTTTGTTTAGCACCGCACTTTCCCCACAGATGGATGCTGAGTGCTTTCGAAAGAGCCCGCAGGGCAACACTGTGCTAGACGGTTCCTGTGAAACTGCAGGAAACTGGACTAGACAGCCAAGGTTCCTGGCTTCTGTGTTCAGCCCTGCCCTAACCTAGCAGGGTAACCTTGAAAAAAATCATTGCATTTTATTTAGACTTTCGTTTATGGCTTGACCTAGGTTTCTTCTACCTCTAAAATTCATTTCTATAGAAGTAATCACATCACAAAAGAAACAGTATATATACGGTTCTCACATAGCTGGGAACTTAAAGCTTAAGAATACACTAATCGCCGTCTTGAAACTCATTCGAAGCACGATCTGCTGCTCATTCATTCTGGAAACTGCTGTTGTCAATGTTTTCCCCTACAGGGTATCACGTGGGCACCAAGTCATCGGTTTTAAAAAGGGCCCGTTAACATGCACAGCTTTGCAAAAGCCACTACATTTCCATCACTTGTATAGTCCCATCATTTGAAATTCCAAGGAAGTTCCTGAAACAGACTTGCATTTCTCCAGGACATTACAAAAGGAATTAAGCAAAAGCCACACACAATCTGGGTGACTGAACCTTATTGAGAAGAAGACAGAGCAGAGGGCTGCGTGGAGAAGAGACACCTGGGAAGCCCGACACACCTGGCTGACCGACCCGCTGTGCGTGGCAAACCTCCTTTTTCCCGCCAGCTACACTGTATCGTGGCACCTCAATTTCTAAGAACTGATAGGTCACCTCTATGCCTCCCAACACAAGGTCACTAATGGATAGATTATGAGTTTCTCAATGATGATTTTGGATGTGAAAAGCCTATTTATTTAGTTCAAATAGAGCAAACATAAACAGGCTTTAAAAATAAAGATTCAAGACAACCACGTGACCATTTGTTGACTTGCAATATGCAACCCGGTTAGAACCAGCAAAATACCTCTTTCGATTTTTCCTCTTTGGTAAATCTCCCAAATTTTTCTATCATTTCAGCCACAAATATAACATCCATCTTGTCAGAAAAGTTGGCCGCTTCCACGGTGTACGCCAGTAATTGCCTGGCCGTGGCCACAGCATTGGTAAGATTGAGAGGCATCTACAGTGAAAATGCAAAAAGCAGCACTTAGCAAACTGACCAACAAAATTTTCGACAATTTTTTCTTTGCATTTCAAAACACTGCAATGAATGCCAACTCTTAAAATTTACTCACCATGGCCTCCCACGACGCTTTTTCAAACCTGAGAAAAATAAAATTTTAGTGGAAACTAACCTGAGGGGAATGTTTCTAAAATTTGGAATGAATGCTGATACATAAAACGGCATCGTATAAACACGCCGCCCCACCTCTTCCTCTTCGCTTATCCAAATTCTACACAAACTCGATCCCAATTGCCTGGTAAAGCCCTCCCTGAGCACTCCAGCTGGGAGGAATCAATACCTCCCTGCGCAGGGGTACGAACCACTTATTCAGCACGTATCTGTAACACCAAGCACGGCCAGGAATGTTTTACATTTGTTTCTTTATTGACTTCAACATGACTCACACCAAGCATTGCAAAAAGGGTCTATTTGGTGCTAAGGATCCTAAGAAAATGTGTAACACAGAAACTTATCTCCCATCTGGTTGTCGTCTGGGGTGGTTTGTAAAAGACACGTAAAAGCAAAGCCAGAGAAAGGCATCTGAGGGGCACAGGTATGAATGCCAAGGGGTCACTTGTGACAAGGGGATTATAAAGCAGAACCCAAGGGGTGGCTCCCAGGCCGATGTGGAAGATGCTGGGATGTCGTCTGGTGGATACAGGTAATACAGGTATTCGAACAAAGGCACGATGCCAGGCCGTGACAGGAAAGAGTAACGCCACCGAGGGCCTTGAACTTCATTTGAGAAGACTGGACCTTATTCCGAACACAGATCCATCAGGTGAAGTATGAACACGAAATCCATATGCTGGACTGATATTTAAAAGATGATCCTATGTATTTTTTTGAAGACCGTGTTTTCCTGGCAACCTCAGTAAATCTGCAGACGTTCTAGTTACCTGATTAAACATATAGAGAACTCTAGTCACATCGTTTGCATACTGGCAGCGAGAATAGTCGTCATCTGCCCAAAAGCCACCTCGGTCGCATCTGCGCCAAGCCTTCCTCTCGTCCTGTGGGTTCCCGGGATAGATCCCGCCGCCGTGGGTGTTCCGCGTGCACTGCAGGTAGGCGGTGATGCCCGCCAGCGTCCGGGGCCACCTGCTCACGGGAGGACAAAACGGCATGAGGAACAGCAGGAGCGGAGAAAAATCCGGGACTGGAACATATTTTTTCAAAAGACCAAAATCTGTGTAAACAGACCAACCCACACTCAATGAAATTCTTATAAATGCCATGGAAGTCAAACTGAATAGTAACTTAAAGCATGTCAAAAAATGAGTAGTTCATTAATTAAGTAATTAGGTTTCTCTTCTACTTCGAAAAATGTACAACACTCAAACATTATGAGAAAAATAGAAAATGTCATAAAAGGAAACATCATATTCTGATTACACAATAAAAGATTTTGAACATAAAAAATTAACAAACATCATCTATTCCAATTTAAGGTATACAATATACATATTACAGATTAACTATTAGTCTATTTAACCGGGTGGTTGGTGGTGGCGCTTGGTGTGCTGCTTGTTTCCGGGCCGGGGCTAGGGTCTGGTCTGTGTTCTCTTGCATATGTTTCTCTTTTGCCCTCCTTTTCCCTCTATCGAAATAAATAAATAAAATCTTTTAAAAAAATATATCTACCAGCAATAATAAGTGCAGACTTCCATATCCATGTCAAGGAAAACTTAAAAAAGATAATATTTTTAAAAACACTGAAGAAGTTGCTGAGCTAGGGATGCTGTTATTGCTCCTTCACCTTGGACTTGAGAGACTACCACCAAAGGATGTTCTTATCCTTAAAATCCAGCTGACAGCCACGGGGTGGCCGTGGCAGCCGGGGCACCAGTGGGAAACAGCTGACTGGTAACCCACGGCCTGCACACACACAGCACTGTGTCTCCCTTCCTTCATGTCAGCCACAAACCCGTGATTCAAATAGAAACATAAAAGAACATTCAGTAAATAATACACTTAAAGATGTTTTAAAGCAACTTAGAAACTAAAGAGAGACTAGGTCAAAGGTGTCACCTCTCACAAATGCTAAATTTCCTACAAAAAAAAATTCCTTTACTCATTATGTTCACTAGGTCCAACGCCAATGGTGCCCCAAGGCCCAGGCCCCAACAGCTTCTGTTTCCGGAAGACTTATCTATTGGCAATAATAAATGTTGATTTCCATACACTCATGTCAAGGAGAGTTAAAAATAAAAACAAAAGGTAAACACATATATCAATTTCCTTACCCCCTTCAGTTCGTCCTACTTTAATTGACAGAGAACCAAATGGGGAGGAAAACTGGGCGTGGTTCTCCTGATTTAGGTGTCTACTTAACCGCCAGTAGTTAAAAGTGACTTGCTAGCAATACAAGGCCTTCCAAAGCTCATCTATAAAAGGACCCTTAAAAATCAATCAAACAAACAAAGGCGGGAAACCCCATTAGCCTGTCTGGGTTCTGTACTATTTTAGTAGAATTTCCAAAGTGTCCTCTTAACTTTTAGGACAAAACCGCCTGTTAAAAATGAACACTTCTGCTCTACCTTCAGAGACTCTTACGTCAACAGATTTGAGATACACTTCAGCCACCTGTTTTGTTTTCTTTTTATTCTCCATAAATGATGTTGAAGTCACTGTTCTAAAAGGTAGTCCTCAGCTATATAAAGAGATATGTAAATGCAAATACATTTCTCCAATATTCTTATAGAGGCTAAGAGACCAATCAGGTGCTTCTACGGATGAAAAGGACGTGGGGGAAATCAGACTTTCTCCAGCTCTGTCCATGCCACCGACCTGAAGTCACCTTTATTGTTCACCACCCTCTCGGGAGGGCAGTACTGTGCAGAGCTTTCCAATACGACGATATCGACGGTTCTCGTATTGTTCCCACGCTTGGTCTGGACGTGACAGCCCCAGTTTCCAGTCGATCCAGCCTGAATATTAGAAATGGTTAGGGCACTGCATGAAGAAAGATTTTAAAAAGAGAGAAAATACGGTTAGGCAAAAAGGGAAACGGCACAGGCTTCTACCACATATTTAGCAAATACATCTGAGTGTGCACGGTGGGCCAGGCACTTGCTGGGTAAAAACGAACTTAAGGGCCCCTCCATTTCAGTACTTCAGCAGCAAGTCAGGGTGAGCAGGTCAGGACTCCTACCATGCCATGGTAAGAACAATAGTGGACGTATGAATTCAGTGCAATGGTACCTAATGCCTGAGACATCTCCTGCCAGAAACAGGGAGGGCGGGGCACAGCGGGAGGGAAGGACAGCAAGTGCAGAAGCAGAACACCGTGGCGCATTCTTCAGCGAGACCGACGGAGAAGTGACTAAGCTACGTCTAGCTTTCTACTGATTCTAAGGAAAATGTTTGAGCATGAGCAAAGGAGATTAATATTGTAAAGTATGTAATTAAGAAAACATTGGAGGTAAAATATTTTGTGGAAGAAGGGTTACACAAGAAACAACTTGTTACGTCTCTAAAAGGATGTAGTAAGTTACTAATTAATTAATGGTTTAACAAAAGGAGTTTCCATGTAAAGGTATACTTCAATTTACAAAACAGCCATATTTCTCAATAGTTATCAGTAAATATAATTGGCAAGAGGAAGTCATAATTGTCTAACATAAAGCCTATTAATTAAAGAGCAAATGTCAGAACATTTAATTAACCTTTATTCCCAACCTCACAGGACAAATTAGGCTCTGCTTTTAAGTAGATACAAATGATAAGTAATTAGACAGAAAGTACCATTGTCAGTAACTTACAAAATTATGTCTTGAAATTCAACACATATTTTTCAAGTCTCCTAAGCCATCGATGGCTACACAACAAATATTCTCATAAAGACTGTGAGGCACCATTACACTGAATCAAAGAAAATGTTTATCATCTCTATTAAGTCAGTAAGAAAACCGATACACTGAAATAAATATATTCCAAGACAGCGTGATGCCAGAGTCTGACATTAAATTTAAATAACCAGAAAGGTTATCAAACTTTCTATGCATATGATTCTACTGAAATAGAAAGAAGTCTGTGTGTATGTACATACATATACACACATATATGTGCATATATATACACATATATGTATATATGCATTTGTGTGTGTGTGTGTGTGTGTGTGTGTGTAGTCATGGAAATTATTCTGTAATCCAATAAATTTCCAAACTTTCTTGGTTCACAGCTCCTTCACTGACTAGGTAACTTTTTCATGGTGCCCCTAGACTAAAAGAAATATCTATGGTGGTGCTAATTACCACATTAAATCCCCAAACTGTGTATCTACGTCCTAATAATTCAGTAGCCATTTGAATAGCACACATGAATTTGAAATACACATTTCCTTCTTTAATAACTACATTTACTAGCTTGTATGTGCCTGCTAAGCACTACAAAATTAATCAAACATCAGACACAGATCAGATAATGATATCGTTCTTTCTTGTTCCGCAATGATTTTTTTCACGTGGTTCTTGCTTTGTACCAAAGTAATGGACAAAAGCCCTGCATCCCAAAGTATGATCGATCATCCCCAGTAAAAGGAACCTGAGTGTCACATGATCGAAAGCGACACCGTAACTGCCTGCAGCCAGCAGTTGTGTGGAGTCTGACAGATGTCCATATCGCTACTCTTCACCAAAACTCAAAATAGCACGCAGCACCCCGTGAGCTCACGGTGATGCGCCGGGTACCTCAACACACCCGTTGGGACCTACAGTCCTAAAATAGTTGGTAAACATTTTTTAAAGATAATTTTTAGCAATAACTCTGGTGTCTTTTAAAAAAACCTAAATTATTGGAATAAAATTTTCAGGTATCCTCAATGCAGCATGCTTGGAGATGTAAGGAAAAAGAGGCAGCTTCAATTTAATCTTTGAGGAAAAGCAGAAACTCTTGGTCTTTCCAATCTAGGATCAGTGACATGAGGAGACAATGAAGAATCAACAAGTATCTCAGGTGGCAATTCAATAACCATCTTTTCTTTTCTACAACGTCCCTGGGTAAAGAGGACTTCTCGGTTTTCACACTGAAGATTTTCACTTTGGGCAGGTGTCCCTACCAATGGAAATATTAGGCAAGGCTGCTATCCTGAGAAGGCTTCGTATTTTTATAGTTTAGATTAAAGTGCGACTTACAGATATAAATGTATCAGTTAATCTACTTTACAGTCATCAAAATTAAAGGCTCTAAATTCATCAAATCTCTTTTATTCAGAAAAAGTGTCCATGTATTTTTAAAGCTCTACTCTTGTATTATATGCCAATTTTTGCCTAATCATATAATAACTGCATAAAACGCACAGTTGATAAGTTTTAACATACATATGGACTTACGAAATTCTCATTGTGGTTAAAACAGTGTAACAGTCAGAGTTTCCTCACTGGGACCTAAGAACCTGTCACTAACCATCTGAGGAGCTATGGAAGGAACACTGCTTCTGGCAATCGCAGAGAAGCGCCCATCACACCGCCCATCACACCATCCTCCCCACAGTTAGTATTTACAAGCTCTAGCCAAATCACCCAGCGACAGCTATCTACATGCACTGAGAGGGACCCGAAGCAAGAGGAAACCAGACCGGCACTGACACTAGGAAGAAGGGGGTGGCCCTGGAAAGGAATCATAGAACTGTTTTTCATGGCTTTTGTTCAAGGACATGCCTTACTCATCTAGAAAGTCACAATGTTACTTGCTGAGAAATCAGAGGACAAAGGTAGAAAGGGGGCTGGCTGTAGCCTGTACTTCCCCACGTAACATCTACGGACATCTCTCTAACCCCCGACGCACACGCAAATGGCGGGGGGGATTTCGGAGGCAGACCACCTGAGAAAAGGCAGGGCTGGGAGTCTGAATTTAGTTGGGCTAACAGCTCAAGACAACAAAAAGCAGCTCTTTTCAGGTGAGCGGAACAAAGTCCAGAGTCAGCAGTGAAACTTTTTCTTCAAAGGCCAAGAAGCAACATTGAAGATATTATACAGGTACTTATTATGTAGCCCTCTGAAGTATAACTGCTTAAAATCATTAAAAAAGGTTCTCAGATCCTAGGCCCAGGCGGCCAGATTTGGCCCATAGGCTGTACTTGGCCAACTTCTCTATAATCAATCATCTGCAATGTCCAGGATATAATCCAACATTGCTAGACATATAAATAATAGTTTTTTAAAAACATAGGAAAATACAAGCCATGTTCAAAAGAAAAGCAGTCAGTGGTGATAACCCCACAATGACGCAGAAGTTAGAATTAGCTGGCAAGGATTTAAAAGCACCTACTGTAAACATGCTAAAAGACATAAATGAAAATATGCTCCTAATAATCAGAGAGAAAACTGCAGTAGAGAACCAAATGATAACACAGAATATTCTACCCCCGCAATTCCCAGACATGATTTTCGGCCCCCGAGAACCTTCAGTTTCTCGACAATATTTTCCTGTCACTTCTGTGGGTCTATTGTGACCCTACCCTAAGGTGCCCCAGCAGAGTCTAGAAACCATACGTCCACTCTCAAAAATTCAAGCAGAATCCTGTCTTTAGGAAACTGGGAGTAAGGAGCCCTGACTGGTGTGAATTAGTGGACTGAGCACCGGCCTGTGAACCGAAGGGTCACCAGTTTGATTCCCAATCAGGGAACCTGCCTGGGTTGCTGGTCAGGTCCCCAGTGCGGGGAGCGCAAGGGGCAACCACACACTGATGCCTCTTTCTCTTTCTCCCACCATTTACCTCTGTCTAAAAATAAAGAAACAAAATCTTTTTTTAAAAAAAGAAAGAACTGGTGGGAAGGAAAGAGATACATGGAGAGACAAACAGACACAAAGACAGAAAATCCAGTGCCTATAGTTAAGATTTTACCGAAATAAAATATATGGCGAGTGATAATATATACATTTTACTTTGCTTTTTACACTTTATAAAGTTCATTTGAATTTAAGAGTTTGGTGCTCACACCAGTCATGGGGTTAACAAGACGGGTGTTACATTTTTTTGTGCCAGTGGGGTAGAGAAAGTATCTTAAAATGTAGCATTAATCACAACACAGCAAAAGTTGGGTGATGCCTAAAAGTAAAAGTGTGAGCTTAGCATCAGGAAATGATTAAAGGTTTACATTTCTCCTCCTGAAACTTTGAACACAAATTGTCCAACTTTTTAACAATGTTCCCTTCTTATCCTGTACTTTCTCCCCCACCCCCTAAAATATCTGGTGGAAAAGATGACTATTAAATTTTACAAGATGAGTAGCCATCAGGAAACCCAATGTTTACTTTGTAAATGCAAGAAGATAAAATAGCAATTCAGCTCCCAAGTACACATCCCGATCCTCCAACGATGACGATTCAAAACCCACGGAGACAACCCTTCACTTAAACAGGTTTACCTGGCAATCAAGGAGCAATTGTGAACCATGTTCTTCTCCACGAAGATGCCCTGCGACTCATCCGTCTCAACTCTCCGCCCGTCCTGGTACCACGAGACCTGCATGTCCTGGTCGATGTAGGAGGCCATGCACTGGAAGGGAAGGCTGTCCCCTTCAAACACGACTTGTCGATGTGAAGGCGTCATGTAGAAAGACGGCAACTCAAGGGGAGGATCTACAGACGGGGAAACACACTCAGTACACAAATACACCACCAATCGCATGCTCCAGAATTACAAGGTCTAGAAATCCTCGTTAGAACGTTAAAAGTGGGAACACAGATATTCCTCAGCTCACAAGCATTCTAACGCTTGCACCAACAAGGCTGCCACGGAGATAAGTGGGTCCCGAAGAAGACGAAGATGGAAAAATTAAAATGGAATCATCCCTCAACCAGTTGTGACAGTAAGAGCTGTTCCTTTCCCGGAGTGCCGCAGGCTGCCCAGCGAGCACAAAAGCAACAGTAAAAGAACAACTGTAAACTAACTCCTGGATCTGGAGAAGGGGACTGGTGATAAGGAAGTGCTGTACACACACAGCTCAAAAATGCCCCTGGGGAGTTTATTACCTTCGCTTACACCACTGGCTTCTGGGTATAAAAGGAATGCACACCCACTGCAGAAAATTTAGGACATTTATGGAAAAGGGGGCATAAATCTTTCAGAACTCATATATTTCAATTACTTTTTAAAAGCTGATATATTTTTTCGGTCAGAAAAACAAAACAAAGAAATGTTAAGTATAGATGCAAAAATGTATACAGATATGATGGGCTCATTAAAGACTTAGTACATGGTCGAACACAATTCTAATTTTAGTGGTCTACCCAAAAGAATAATAGCATAGTATATAAGGAAATTAACGTATAGAAGGAAAGTAATCCTTGCACTGTTTATGGAGTGAGAAATACTTCATTTCAAACTCAAAAAGCCTTTAAAAGCATGAAAATATAATGCTTTGGTCAAAACATAGGAAAAAGGTACAAAAGGTAATATACCCATGTGTCTCTGACATTAGCTATGAATGATAATTAGCAAGTAGATTTATAAAATATTTAAAGTGTATATCATGATCTGATATACATATACATTATTTATTTTCATGAATTTTAATTTTTATCCAATGAGCATATTTTACCTGTGAAACAACCATAAAATTTTAAAGAGAAAAAGAAAAAAAAAATGTTAGGACTGTTTATTTCCAAACACAAAGATTAAGCTAGAATCTCCTCCTATCATTTTAAGGATTTTGTTTTGTTGTGTGTGTGTGTGTGTGTGTGTGTGTGTGTTTTCATTTAACACATGGCAAATGTATCATTTAATTCAAGTCGTTCACTATTCTTTTTTCAATAGCTATGTAGTATCAGTGAACCAACCTCCTATTTTTGAGAATTTCAGATATGCTTATATAAAAAGTCTGAAGATTTACACACATAGCTGACCACTTCCTAGGAATAAACGGTTACATATAGAAGCACTGGATCAAATTGTATCCGTTTCTTAAGAACACATTACCAAACTACTTCAAAAAGGCTGTATCAATTCACTCTCCCATGAATGGGGACTGCATCCTGAGATTTTATTACTATCAACAAATTCCTAATTTGCCAACTGATAAAAATTTGAAGGTCTCTGTTACCATTTGAATTTGTTTTTTATAATGCTGTTCAGAACCTAGGAACCTTAAATACTGAGCGAAAAAAAATCTTTTTTCATTAAGTTGACTTACTTGTTGGCATACACTAAATATTATCGAATCCATAAAGATCAATGGTCATATTCAGTTCCATCTAAGTGTAAAGAGAAGGTTATAGTTTGTCGAGGAAAGCATGGGAGCAGGTAAAATACGGTAAACGCTTCCTGACGTCCTTCTCCCTTACCACAGGTCAGCAACTCCTGCCTCACCCCGGTGACCAGCTGGGCCTGCAGCGACTTCGGGTAAATGCACCTTGTGTCCCGCACAGTGATGTTCCTCTCCTTCACCCAGCGATGCATCCACAGTATGTTACAGTCACACAAGAGATACTCAGTCTGGAATTCTCTGCAGTGCACATGATACACATTAGAGATCAGGGTGAATAAAACGAAACAGCACTTCCACACTGGCTTACACTGGGGGCGGTGAGCACACCGGGCTCCCCCTCACCACACTGGATATCGTCTCCTCTCCAGTGATATGACCTGCAGGGACTCCAACCCCAGCACGGTCCCCCACTGATGCTGAACTCATGCTGCCGCTCACCTTCGCCACACTGGTGACCTGCACCACCGACAGATCCAGGCTCCCTTCCCGGGGGGGTCTGACCCCGCTTGGTCCCTCACTGGTCCTGGACTCACACAGCTTTCAACCCAAGTTGCGTTGTGAATTAAATCTACTCGTTAGCCCTCGTCTCTGCAACAAGCCCCTCAACCCCAGGGGTCTGGAATATCGGAGCCCCACCCTTTGAGTCTACCGGAAGCTTCCCAACCCTTCTTACATAAATGTGTAGCACCACCACCGCCTCTTGGAGCCTTCTCCAATTCTCCCCACCATCACTGCCATGTTCTGGGTTTAAATGCCCACAACTCCCCTGTGAATATGGGCAGCATCAAGCTGACTGCTTCACACGGTCATATTCATCTGTCCGACTGCAGTACCCCAAGCCAAGGACAGGGACGACTTTTGACACTTTGTTATATGCCAGGTGATACTACAGTTCTTACAAACTTCAGAGATACAGACTCAATCAAACAAAAATATAACACCTCATACTTGATATGAGAGAAAATAGAGAATTATCTTTCTGTGCAGCAAGAAGCTTTACAATTTGGCACGTGGGTGTGACAAATAAAGAGAGGACACACACAGCTTCCTTATAAGCAAAACAATCTCTTGCACACTTGTGTTACGAAGCACCAACTATTCATGTGTCGTACGTTTCACTAAGTCCCACTAATAAAAATAAAGGCAGGGGCTGCCCCCTGCCAACCTGGAGGGCATTAGGTAACAGGGGAACGAAACCTAAATACAACAAAAACAGACTGCAACGTGGTCTATACAAATAAACCATCCAAGTGCAAGGAGCAGATATAACCACATGTGCATCTGATGCAGCCCGACCGCTGACACAGGCCGCACCTCGGTTTTGGCCATAGGAGTGGGTGGGGGGGGAGGAGAGTGGAAATGAGATACACAAACAGAAAGTTACTACAGAAAAAGTACCGAAGGGATGATCAGACCGACTTCTGCTGCTCCGGCACCAACTTCTGGTCCTTTTCTAGCACTACCATGTAAAAACACTGGCGATTTCCCCCAATTTGGGGGTGAAATACTCCCCATGTTCCTGTTACGCGGGGTCTCAAAAGCCAGATTATCCTTTGCAGTCTTTTTTCTTTCCTAAACATCACAGTAATGACTGACTTGATCTCACTAAATATGTCAAAAGGAGATTTTCCCCTAAAAAGCCGTCTTTGAGTAAGAACAGGAGTGGCATCAGAAAGAGAGACCAGAGGGCGTTTGATCCAGTGTGACCCTAGACCTAGTGACCCTAGACCTACAGAAGTCCAGCAGGGGGGTCAGGAGCCAGATGGATGCCTAACCTAGGAGCTACGCCCCAACGATACGGCTAATGAGACTTAAGTGGTACATTTAGAAACAGAAAAGTAAGGGGAGGGGACAAGGAGAGGAGGGGAGGGAAAGGAACAAAGGAGGGAAAAGAGAAGGGAGGGGAGGAAAGAAGTCAGTACACACACGGAACAGAGGCATCTGGTAGGGAAGACAGTTTTCCCTGGGAAAAACAGACATAATCCCATGAGTTACACATGATAAAAACTTGAAAAACATTGTATTTTACTGTGATTCCAATAAAAAACAATATAACAATGTTTGAAATATATTAACATTTATCTGGAAATAGAGTTACTTTTAAAAGTAACACCTGTATAAACTTACAGTTAACAAAGCTGTTTTTGGAAGAAAAAAAAAAAAACCCAGCCAATTAACTAAAGCTACAGAGGACTGAGTAAATATGATCTTACGTTGACTTTATGAAGCAGACATTCTACATAAACATTCCTAGAAATGTAGTATGCTGTGATTAAGTTTGGCAAAGAGGTTCCAGGATAAAACTAAATCCCTCAAGTATGAAAACTTGTTAAGCACAAATTCTTCAGAGGGAGGACTATTTACACTCTGGGGATTGGAGTGGTCAAAGAAGAAAATACTTTCTATTTTGAAAACAAAGTCAAAGAGAAAGAATATTACCAATGCATTTACTTGCAATACAGATTTGACAGACACAATATTCTAAGCAGAGGATGGACCGTCACCCCATCTGAGACGAATTATACTAAGGTTTACGGGATGGTTTTCAATGTGAATGCGGGAAAGATTCAAATGTCTACGATATTACAGGAGTTTCCCCATTAACCCTGTTAAACCATATAACAACCATTTTTAACTTTCAAAACCAAAGATATATTTATAGAAACAAGAGAAAGTCCCTACTTACAGAGACCGTAATGAGCCAAGATAATCAAAAGTTCCTTGCGATAATGAAGAAAACAAATTCCCGGAAAGGTTTCTGGGGAACAAAAAAGAAAACAATTTCACTTTTGAAAAGACTAACAAATATATCTTTCTATACTATTCATATTTCCTAAAGTATAGTATCATCATTAAATATTACAAAGAGTTTATAAAAGTTGTTTTAGGTGTTTTTATACAGAGGGAACAAGTAGTAAATATTTGTCCAAGGCTGAAAAACAAAATTGTTCTTAACCTTTCTTACATAAAGCAGTCAACAAAACTATTTACAAATTATTTCTACTACATAAGGATTTTTCCGTCCAATAGCGGGTGAGCCTGCAAGTCGCCTCACTGAACCAGATCTTTAGTTGTGTGCTCACTGCAACCAGATTTCCTCATCAGGTGTTCACTCAGTATCACTTGAGAAAGCAAAATTAAAAAAATAAAGAAAGGAAAAAGACAACCTGCATGATCAGCAACAGCACCCCCAGTAACCGAGTAAAAATATCACCAGAGTAGCAAGAGTCCAGGGTTTAAAGTGAAAGACCTGGGATACAATGCGGTGTTGGCCTTTCCTCTCATTTTCTCTGTGTTAGATGCCTTTAAGAAATACCTGTCTAAACTCTTACAGAGCACTGTATGAATTAAAACCCCAAACACCCCATACGACAATTTGAGTAATCTGTTACACCCACAGTGACTTCACGGAAGTATTTCGTCCACATTTGACTATGAATTTCAGAAGGGGAGACCTGTGTGTCTTATTTATTTTGGGGTAAATCTGACAGCTAGTAACATGCTGAGGTACACAGCAGGTGCTCAGTGGTGATGGAGCCCAGCTTTGGGGGGCTCCTAACATGCAAGGGGACTAAGGGCTCTGGGAGGACGGCAGCATCACCTCCCACCACAAGATCAGGTCTGTGTCTGCTGTGGCATCAAGGGAGACCCTCGTGCACCGTGGCTGGGACTGCAGCCTGGTGCAGCCACTGTGGAAAGCAGTGTGGAGGTTACCTCAAAAAGTTAGAAATGGATCTGCCTTTTGACCCAGCAATCCCACTTCTGGGAATATATCCCAAGCAACCCAAAATACTACCTCGAAAGAACATAAGCATCCCTATGTTCACTGCAGTGTTATTTACAATCTCTAAGATAAAGAAGCAGCCCAAGTGTGTATCAGTAGATGAATAGATAAAACAAGTATGGGGTACTTACACAACGGAATACTACTCAGCTGTAAAAAAGAAGAAAATTTTACCCTTTGCAACAGTATGGAGGGACCTGGAGAACATTATGCTAAGTGAAATCAGCCTGTCAGAGAAAGACAAGTATCACATGATTTCACTCATATGTGGAATTTAATGAACAAAGGGAACCAACAAGCAAAACAGACACACTCATAGGGTAGAGGGTGGAGGGAAAAAGGACTCGTGGACATGAACAACGGTGTGGTGACTACGGAGGCTGGGAAGTATAAGAGGAAAACTGCAATAATTTTAAAAAAAAGGAAGAAATCCGTGGACCTACCAGGAGGCCTTCGGAGTCTGGGTTGAATGCTCCCAGTAGGTGGGAAAGCGACAGTCGGGCAGCCGATTCCCCAGATGCCCAGCAGGGGGAGGAAGGAAGGCTGAGCTGGGAGAAATCAGCTGTCCTCATGTCACCTGCAGCCATGAATTCCTGCTGCCTCAATGTTACACAAATGCCAATCCTCCCCCAATTGACATATAATGAACTTCAATCAGAACATCACTTCTCATATGTCTTTTGATGTAAAAGGCTGGACAAAATGATTCTGCTCCTCACAGAATTGCCTTGGAACTCAAAAAGCAAACAAATAAAAAAGAACGCTTGCACATAAAAAAGAATGATGAAAGAGATGCCCTTTTCCTTTTCTGGCCTATAGGAGTGGCTACCGAATGTGAATTTTGGAAAGGGTGTTGCTGATGGCAGTGTAAATCACTGTGTAACATTTCAAGAAAGTAACTTAGGTGCAATTAAAATGAACAACTGTACCTTTATGAAGGTTTCCTATGTGAAATTATGACTACAGGATTCAGTTAAAATAATGTAGGTAGCAAGACAGGCGATGGGAGGTAAAATGGAAACAGGGCTAAGGCTGAGTGTTGAAACTGAGTCTTTCTTCAGATGTTCGAAAGAGATTCCATAATGGTAACTTGAAAATAAAATCTGTCCTGCAAATACACAGTTTAACCCTAAATGAAATAATTACATCTTACAGGGACCACTGGATTCTAATTAGCATTTTATTCTAATTATGAGCTATTGTTAGATATTTTCCCTTACTAATCCCAGAGGAAGGAATCACAGTGGAGAGAGACGCACCCGTCTCCCCAGTAAACCCCACCACACACCGGTTTTTCCTCCAGGGTGGGAGCAGGCTGCTGTGTGCCTGGCACAACACCAAGTGATGTCTGGCTTTGGTTTAGGGGCCACTGAAACTCACACAAACGTTAAAACACTCCAGCTCTGAGATGCTTACACACAGAAAAGCAAACGGCAACTGCGATGCCAAGGGGCCAGCCAAGTCACTGCTCCCGCGTCCACATAAAGTCGCTGGAAGGAGTGGCAGGTGAACTCTCCATCCCCTGCCCACCCACTCCCACCCTGTGGGCCACTGTTTGTCACCGTCTTGCGTAACTTTTCTTTATTTGATTACTTTCTGTGAAACAGATATATTTGAATCCCTGGGAGTGAAATAGATACGGTACATCGATCTGTGTGTCTACCGGGGTGTTTACCGGGGCAGATTTGTTAAAGGTAGAGAGAATGCAATCCAATCTCTTGTCACAGAGAAAGGACTGACTAAATTATGTTTTATACCTGAAATATTCTGTAGCTGTTAGCAAGCACAAACTAAATCAACAGGTATGCTCTTGCAAAGATTAACATGTTGGTAATTTTTTTTAAAAATGTACATTGCCACCCTGGCTGGTGTGGCTCAATGGACTGAGTACCAGCCTGTGACCTGAAAGGTCGTCCGCTCAATTCCCAGTCAGGGCACATGGCTGGGGTGCATGCAGGCCAGGTCCTAGTCAGGAGTGTGTTGCAGGCAACTCATCGATGTATCTCTCACACATCGATATTTCTTTCCCTCTTTCACCCTCCCTTTTCCTCTCTTTAAAATTAAGTAAATAAAAAATTTTTAAATGTAAGTTGTCAGATCTTTAAAGCCTCATATGCATGCCTATGCATTTGTGGGGGCAACAAAATCTGAAAGTAAATACACCACATCGTCAGTGCAGGCTCTCTCGAGCGGTGTCTGTGAAGTGACAGGGGGAGGGAGTTAACTTTTCCTTCACGTCACTGTATGGTTTTGCTGCTTAACGACATCAGTGATTTTTTTTTATTGTATAAAGGAAGTTCTTATAAATATCATTCCGCAATTATTTCTAAAAGAAAAATATTAAAGTTATACTTCTTAGGAAAAATATAGGTTTTTAACTCATTAAAAAGCAAAAACCAGGAACGCTTCTGGTTTGGTAATCCCGTGAGAATTTCTCTGTAAATGAACTTCCTCAGTGAAGGACAGGTGACTGGCCGGTCCCCGGATCTGTGGTCTGCCAGGCACGTCCCGTGTGGAAGGGATGGGTGGGGACCTCCCAGGCACGGCTGCACTTGTCTGGGCCACGTCTTCCCCCGACTTCTCCCCATCAGCAAAGGCGAGGTCAATGCATAGAACTAATCCACCCCATGTCCACTCCAAACTCACACCCACATCCGCTGAAGCCTGAGGCACATTTATTTTTCGGTATTTCACCCAAACCTCCAAAGCCAACACTTGCTTCCAAAGGAGACGAAGTCTGGGCGACAGCACTGCTGGCCTCCATCCCAGCCTCCTGGCCAAGAGGCCTGGTCAGTCTGAGAGCCGGCACCCCTGGGTGACCCAGAAAGGTCAGCTGAAGAGGTAGCCTAGGAGAGCGCAGGGCAGAGGCCCACTCGAACCCCTGCTCCTCTGTGTACTTCTCCTGTGGGAGGCAGTGAAAGGGGACTCTCCAATTCCCAATTTAAGAAATGTACCAAAGCCCGTTACTTATCAGATGCTCTTTTCCACCTGCTGGGTTGAGAAAACGGTGTATTCTCTAAGTCTAAAACACAGATTATCGCCAGTCTTCACAACAGGCACACGGCTGGGCTCCGAGTGCCCAGAAATCTGGCGGACGCAGCAGCCGGAACAGAACAGGCATCCAAACTAACTCCGGGCCATGTCAACCCAAATTAGTAGGGGCAAGTCCACTGCATAAATTCCTGAATGTTTTCTTTTGGAGTGGGGTTGTGGTGGGGTTTTGCTTATCTTTTATTTTCTTGTGAAAGAATCAGTTCTTTTTAATTTCTTTAAAAAACTAAGATATAATTGACATATAACACTGTAGTAGTTTTAGGTACACAACATACATACATACCTAGGGCAAAAAGATCACCACGGCAAGTTTGGTTAACATCCATCACCACACGCAGTTACAGTTTTCTTCTTATGTGAGAACTTTAAGATAGACTGACTTAGCAACTTTCAAATGTACAAGACAGTCTTGTGAACTAGAGTCACCATGCTGCGTGTTAACGTCCCCAAGACGTCTTTATCTCCTAACGGGAAGTCTGTACCTTCGGGCCACCTTCACCCGTTTTGCCCATCCCTACCCTCCATTCCTGAAGTTTCAGAAGCCACCTCCAATTGACAACTTGTTTTAGGACAGCATTTAAAGGATGTGAATCAGGTACATCTCTGTAGATGCCATTGATTGTTACAGTGTGTACCGTAAGGTAGTATCATGTTCTGATGACACTGTAAGTATCTCCATGACTAAATTCCAAGGTCCCTCTTCCCTACCACTTTAGTTGCTACTATATAGCTGTTGCATGAATATTAACCACATCATAGGTATTTATACATATATGGAAACTGATTCAAATGTTTCCTTATCTCTTAATAGGAAAGAAGGATATACTTACAATCTAACCAGATTGGTGAGTCCTCGAAATATATCTGCATTCAGACATCCTATTCGATTATTTGTCAGATCTCTAAAGGTAAAGGGGGGGAAATGTCTTCAATTAGTTCTCTTGGTAAATGAAGGTTGCACACATTCCATATTTGAAAGAGCAGCCAGGAACCACACAAAACCTTACTTTTCAGCATCTCTGAGCTACCAATATGACGGCACCGAGGAGGCACAAACCCTTGCTCTCACCTACTTCTGACACGTGCAGACCAAACGCTCATGAATTATGTAGAGCGAGTGCCCTTTGTGTCTCAGGCACTGACCCCTGTAAAATGACTCAAGATACAGTGGAGGAGTGCATGTGAGACAGAATCTACTCACTGTCTATGACACAGTCCGCAGACGACCTACACCGGCCTCCGTAGGGACAAGTGAGGGAGCAGAGCCCCATCTCAGCCAACACTTAGCACGGTGGCTTAGTGGACACACAATCAAAATAAACGCTCAGGCTTTCCTCTCCTTAAATACTCAGAAGTTCTCAATGGAAATAAAACACACCTGCGCTAGTTTTTACTTCTCAGATCCACCACTTACGTGTCCACTCTGTGGGCCATTACCTCGCCCTCCTTGGACACTATCTAGGGAAGGGCTCAGTGTTTTCCCCAACACCCCTAAACCTTTACAGTTTCCACCAAATGTTACTTTCTCAATAATTTTTTTTTCTCAATCCATGAAACTATTTCATTTTCATCTATGTAAAGTTGTTTGGTAAACACAGGGATGGGCCAAAGTAGGTTTACAGTCACAATACAATAACGAATAACACAAGAATAAACTCTGCGTTTTGAGTCCACACGACTGTAAACCTGCTTTTGCCCACCTCTGTGCTTTACTGTCTCTTCACTGTATTTTTTCTCACCAAGGGCAGTGAATACAATTTACACTTTAATCTGGCCATTACATTTTAAAAGGGAGAAAATAATTGATAATTTCTAGAACCTTCAAACAAGATGGCATGGCTTTCATCATTTACCAGTGGATTTAGCAAACAATATCCCAAGAAAAACCTAAAACAATGAATCTTCATTTTTGTCAGTTGTTAGACTTAAAATGATTCATTGCTTTAAATTTTGATTAAAAGAATGAACAAGCTTTTTCAACCAAACTTTCAAAAGTATTTCTATCACATTTTCTCTAATGTCCATATTATTCCCTTTCACGGAGAATTTACACTTCCTTTGAGGTACATTCTGAGTCACCCTCTTTAGAGTCGTGGTTTGCACCACCCACTGCTAAAGTTGTTGGAGTATAAATTGTATACCTGGTCATGGAAGAAAATGCTTTGGTCTGATGAGAAACTTTAAGGGTGTGGCATTTGAACTCACTAGAAACTTTTCACCCAGATACCCTGTAGCCTGAGTAACCCTGGAGTCCTGGTATCTCACAGTTCTGCCTTTCTTTTCTTGTGTCAACTTTTGATAAAAGAATCTTAAGCAATATAAGTCTTTATCTGCACTTGCTATTTTCCAGCTCCTCGGACGATTAAAGCTAAGTATTTAATCGTGTGGGCCTTTTTTTTAAAATTCCAGCCAATTTTCCTTTTATTTCTAGGTTTTACTGTTTAAGAAAATGAGGCGTCATCTTGTGCATTGTTGCTTAAACAAGCATTTCTGGGCTCTATTCGTTCTCTTGTCTCAATTCTGAGCTTTAAATAGTGTAATTACCATTGATTCTTTGGGAAACAGTTTCATTATGGCTATATCTATTTAAAATGGTATTTAGGTATTGATAATGAGTGTTCATTTAGATTGAAAATCGGCATGAATTTGTTGATAAAGCAAAATGAGACACCGAGTGGGTCTAGGTTTTACCTACTTCTGGCAGTTTATTCTGCAGAAACCACTTAATCTTCCTGATTCAAATCATCTACAAAATAAAGGCAAAGGCATGGTACACTTACAAAAACACTTATCAAGCAGCTGTCAAGTGAGATGTGCAGTTGAAATGAATGATTTAAGGCCCCATAAGAAAAAGCGCCTGCATCTCGAAGCAACTGTGAAACGTTACTGCGGCAGAGAATCTTTATATCTCATTGAGTTTACATCTAAGACTCTCTCAGCTTGCAAGCTGTATACCATACGTTCTATTACAAGTCAGTGGTTTGAAATGAAGACTACATTTTTTAGTGGGAAGAACATTATAAATGGCAATTATCTTTAGGCAAGAACACAAGAGACTACTTAATGTGTAATGCAATGCAAAATGCTAAGGCAATGCCTGGCATAATATTAGTAATTAAATTAAATGCTACTGAACAGGAAATCTATATATTTATTTTGGATGGTGGTAATTGAAGAGTTATTTACTGAAGGGTAGAGAACTAGATGGAGAACTGAAGATACCTTAGTGTCCTTAAACATCATCCTGAAACTGCTCTATATTAACAGTCCAGTTTCCTTCAATTTCTTTTTTTTTTTTTAAATACTAGGCCCATGATAAGGCCTTCACCTACTTTATTTATTTTTTTTAATATTTTCTTTCTTTATTTTTCAAGAGAGGGGAAGGGAAGGAGAAAGAGTGGGAGAGAAACCTCAATGTGTGGTTTGCCTCTCATACGTCCCCTGCCGGGAACTGGCCTGCAACCCAGGAATGTGCCCTGACTGGGAATCGAACCGCGATACTCTGGTTCGCAGGCCCGCGCTCAATCCACTGAGCTACGCCAGCCAGGGCCCAATTTCTGTCTTGACATGGACAGACTGTTAGCATTAATCTTCAAAATGAAAAAAAGAGAGAGAGAGACGTGCTTCCTTCCAAAAAAGCTGTGACTACAGTGGCGTGGATCCGTGGATCACAGAGGACAAAAATAAATGATCTTGTCGGGCAGTGGGATGTCACACTGCTTCCCCTAGAAAAAAATTTGGTGGGAAAAACCTTCAAATACCCTAGAAGTGTGGACACTTCCGCATCAGAATGACCGGGAGGGACAGTTAAACCAGAGATGATTTGACCTTGGCCCCAGAGTTTCTGAAAGGGTAGATGTAGCACCCAGAGGCCCAAGTCCTGCTCAGGCGCAGGTTGGAGCTGACCCATCCACACATGGGGTTGGGCTGCCCCTGGTAAGAAGCACAAAGAACGTGAGTTGCTGTGACACATGCAGCTGGTTGAGCCACCCCACTCCACTCCACGGTGACGCTGTTTCTGGAGAGATGTGCTGCCTGTTGACAGCTGTGCCCCGCACCCCTTCCGGTGTCAGTCTGGCTGAATCCTAACAGCTGTCAGGGCTCTTGGCAGCTGAACTCGAGCCATGGCTCCACCCCTCTGCAAGGAGATGCCAAGTTCATACCTGGGCTCTTGGTCAGTGTGTATGATTCCACTAAACTGCAGACCCTCAAGGAGCCCCCAGTTACCCTGGTATCTCTCTGGAGCCTGGCTCACTGTCGGGCAAAGACACTCAGCAAAAGGGGTACGATTACATTGATGCTGATCTCTGCCTCTCACTTTATGTTGCTTCACCTGGATGATACAGTTACTGAACTCCACCTTGACCCACTGCAACCCTGATGCCTACCTAACGCCTGCCACCCTCCAACTCTTATCCTCCTTTTCTAGAACTGCAATTTCCATGCCCCACTGACCTACCCCTATAAATAATAAGAAAGGGTGATAAAACCAAAAGAGAGACAGACAGAAAGACAGGGGGACTTAACGGGGTGACCTCTAAAAAGAATGAAAGCATGGAGCTGGCCACTCTCTCCATGGTGTCTTTTGTCCCTGAATCTCTGCACTTACGTGGCTACTCCCCACTGTCATCAGGAACACGCTGAAACGCAGATCTGATCACATCAACTCCACACTCATAAAGTTCTGCCTGCCCCCCACACCCATCTAAACAATCGCTTTGGAATTTTTACAATATGGCAAGAGGTCATCAAAGCCCACAAAAGCCTAGTCCTGCCCCGAACAGCCCAGCATTCTTCTCCCTCTCTCTACTTTAGGCTGTGGCCAAGGAACTAAGGCACTGTCCCAAGAGACACGTTTTCACACCTTCGTCCTCCAAGCTTCTGTTAGTCTTCGCACAGGGAGTGAGGTCGGGTCTAAACGTTCGCTGCCCCCGTGGCTGGCCATCCCCCTCTCAGATCATCCCTCCTTTCCCTGGCAGATGGTTATTATTTTATCTGTTGTAGCACATATGCCTGATGTATTTTCATTATCCACCTATTTTCGCCCCCAAGAGACTGTGAGCTGTTCCAGAGAAGTCGGAGATGGCAAGCAGCCAACACGTACTAAATGCCTTTAGAAGGAATAAAGGATGGAGGGACACATGGCTCGAGTGTAGGGTTACGTCTCAACAACTGGGAAACAGCGTAAGGGGAGGCCGCGGGGGCCAGTTTTCATCTTCAGAATAAAGACTGGTCTTTAGGATTTGAAATAATAATAATAACAATATAAAATAAGATAAAGTATACATGAAAATGGCCAGACTTTATATCATTAATAGAAAGGGACCTCAACTGATACGGGATTTACAACAGACAGGATCTGAACGTGTTCACAGCTTGACTAATGACAGCTGGCAAAGCCAATGCAGCGATGATCTGATTAGCATGAGAGCGACACAACCACCACACAAATCAGAGTGCCTTCCAAGCTACTTACATTAAATATTCTCTGTTTTCTATCCTGGACCTGGCCAGGTGAACGTCTCAACGTCATTAAAAACCAACTTTTTTATCATGTAAGAGTAGATGAACAATTACTTATATAAGAAACAGCTGAAACTCATAAGAAGCAATTCAAACACTTACAATCGTTTTAGCGATGACAGTCCCCAAAAGGCACCTGGGTCTATACTACTAATAAGATTATTTCGAAGGTCCCTGTGAAAAATAAAACAAAACAGATTATTTACACGTGAGCACTGTAACAAATATTTCGGCACATCACACTTAACTACCATACAGACAGCAACAATAACAAAAATAATGCGAGGAAACTGAAGCCCAAAACACTAAACCAAGAACCTAGAGCCAGAATCCAAATGCGAGGAATCAGACTCTAAAGCCATTTGTTTTGGCCAACAGAAGAACAAAGGTATATGTCAAAAAAGATATATGTACCCTGGTAGTATTCAAATCCGCAGTTAGTTGTAAACTACAGTCCTATAAAATACTGTAATTATAAAAGGCTCCAGAATTCGACAACGATAACTGCAGGAACAATTATGTAATGTTCAGCCACTGCGCTAAGCACCATTTTTATTTTTGTAGCCTTCTCCCTCGTTGCCCCTACTTTCCCACGGCATACGGTGCGCGCCAGACAGTGCCAGCTTTCTCAACTCCACCCCGACAGGCATGGCACTTGCACAACCCCTGTCCTGATTTTTCATATATGCTGGCCCTAGTAATCGTGATTACATGACTGTGGTTGAACAAAACCTAGGACCTTGAGGGAGGCAGAGTAACCCTTTCCACTGACTTGATAAGAGGTCGAGATGTGTGCCTGGAACTGCAAGTGACTTTCTTGCTACCATGATAGAAGAGCCTCCTTGATGATGCCAATAGACAAGAAAAGAAAATAAATGCTGAGTCCCTGGGTCCAGCCAAGCCTGAAGTCCAGCTCTCACTCTGGGCGCCTCAGTTACACTAAAATCAGTGAGTTGGTATCTGTCACTTATCATCCCATTAAGATCTCACACTCAGTCCTAGGAGGTATTACTGTGGCTTCAGACAAGGAAACTCATGTGCAGAGAGATTATGAATCTGGCCCAGGTCTTGGTGTCAATAAGTAGCCACATCTGGAAGTAAACACATCTTTCCTACTGACACAGTGAACATTTACTAAAGGAACTGAACAAATTTATTCCTAGAGCAAGAGGGAGTCAGATATACATACCAAAAAGCTGGCCATAATTAAATCAAGGTGCTAGAGATATTTTCTTTCAACAGCTTTGTATGTTTGAAAAATGTTCTAACACGTTGAACCAACTATACCATGTGGTATCATGTACCTGCCAACTACCACATTTTGCTATGTATAATGTGCACTTCTTTGCCCAAATTTTTGAGGGAAAAATAAAGATGCACATTACACATGGGTATAATGATTACATATCATGGGTATAATCCCGTGTATAATGCACACGAAATGTGGGTGTACATCATACACAGGAGCACATTATACGCAGCAAAATATAGTATGTGTGGAAGCCGCCCACTGCTCTGTCCTCCCAAGGGTATCACCCCAGCCCAGGTAATACACCACATAGCTCCGACTGATGTGCGTTCTTGCTTCTCTCAACTCTTCCTCCTTTACATCTTCATAAGCATGAATCTGATGTCTCTGTCTGGCTAAATCCTCCAGAGATGCCACAGTGCCCTTGGAGGAGAGTTCAGGCTCTCTGGGGTAACTTACGGGCTATCCACAGTCCTGACCTTGCCCATCTTCCGACTCTGACTCTCACGTCCCATGCTGCCCAACGCCTTCCTTTAACATTCGCTCACTCAGTCTGTCTTTCTTCATATACACCAGTCATACCGTGAGATGTTTCTAGAAAGAGTCACATTTCTCTCACCTCTAGACCTCTGCATGAGGTTTCCCTGTCCTTGACACACACCCCCGTCTCCCTCATCTCATAGCCTCACCCCTGTCCTGCTTCTTTCTTCTGACTCCTACTCATCCTTAGACCTTGGAGTCCACACCATTCCCTGCTCTGGAAAAATACCTGTGAACAGTGCCCCGTGCTTCCCTCTCATGGCCTCATCCCACTGTACTTTGAGTGCTTAAACCATCTTCCCACGAGACCAGAAGTTCCACAAGGGTAGAGTTCGTGACTGTTTAGTGAGCGTGAGAGAACTCAGCACGCAGAGAGGGGCAGATGGACAGCGGTATGGGGGTGTCCCACCCACAGCCTGTGGGCCTCATGTGGCCCACGATGTCTGGGAATGCAGCCCAACACAAAATCATAAATTTACTTGAAACCTTCTTTTTGCTCACCAGTTTTCATTAGTGTCTGTGTATTTATGTGTGGGCCACAACAACTCTTTTTCTTCCAGTGTGGCCCAGAGACGCCAAAAGGTTGGACACCCCTGTCAACGTCTGCCCCTCTCACCCAAATTCATACGTTGAAAACCTAACTCCCAAGGTGATGGAATTAGGGGGTGGAGCCTTTGGGAGGTGATTAAGTCATGAGAACAGAGACCTAGGGAATGAGATCAATGGCCTCCAAAAGGAGACTTGAGATGGCTCCCTCTCCTGTCTCCAAAACGTGAGGTTTCAGTAGGAGGTGGTCCCTCACTGGACACTAACCTGCCGGTGCCTTCATCCTGGACATTCCAGCCTCCAAAACTGTGAGAAATAAATGTCGTTACAAACTACCCAGTTTCTGGTAGTTTGTTAGAGAAGCCAGAACAGACAGAGATAGATAATAAACGGATGAAAAAGGAAGCCACAGCTGAGAGACAGAATTGCATTTACCTAAGCTTTACTACAGAAGTCGTCTTAGTAAATTATGGTTATGCACGAAATCATTAGAATATTCATGAAATCAGACTACGCGGAGATTACTGCACGTCGTCACTCGGGACACTCACACCTCGTAACGGTACAGGATCCTGTCTGCAACTGACCTTCAAACAATGTAGCTGACTGTGTATGTGTAGGCATATTCCAATATTTTAAAAAGTGACTGCAAATGGTGAATAATTACTGAGTCTGGGTAAGTAAATTGGGGGTATGGGAGATTACTCCATTATTATTTCAGTTTTTCTGTATGTCTGAAATGTTTCATAATACAAATTAGTTTTTGTCGCCAACTTTTTAAGTTCCAGGACGTACAGTCCACCACCAGGCCCAATGTACTACTTCCTCTCCCCCCCTCCCCCTCCCCAGCTGATCCCAACCCTACACCCCAAAGGGAAGGTTTCTGGAGAAAACTCGGTCAGCATGTGTTTGACTGGTATTGTGTAAGCTAAAAATCTCTGCAAACAGAAATACATATAATGTCAGTTCCATTTTTCCAAAACCATGTTTCCCTTTTCAGAGTTTGAAAAACATCCACAACAGGAAATAATTCAGCTAAAGCACAACATGAATCTGCGGTCAATGATGTACTGCGTATGTCTTTAAAAAACACCACTCATGAATAACTAAGTAATGTAATATGATTTAAAGATACGCTTTTTCTTAATAAAAAAATGCTTGACATACTGTATTATATTTAATAATCGTCATATTAATCAGGCATTGCCAAAAGATATTTATAGTCGGGTTCTCTCATTCAACACTTTCCTCACCCACCCAGAGCTTCTCTGGTGAACACAAGTCTGATGTTAGGATGTGCAGCAGAATCTGAATAGGCTGGGTCATTAAAACATAAATGAAAAAAGGTGAACACAAAATGCTTCAACGAAATTGAAGGAATGTTTAAACAATTCTAGGGAAAGGAGTTAGCTCTTAATTTAGGCAAGAATATCAAGTATATCAGAAAAGACAATTTTTTGCTGCAGGTATCAGAAACCCCTACTTGAAAAAGCTTCCTCTAGAAAGAAAATGGTAGCTCAGTGGATTGAGTGCGGGGTGCGAACCAAAGGGTCACCGGTTCAATTCCCAGTCAGGGCACATGCTTGGGTTGCGGGCCGGGTCCCCAGTGGGAGCTATGTGAGAGGCCATCACACATCGATGTTTCTGTCCCTTTTTCTCCTTCCCATCCCTCTTTAAAAAAAAAAAAAGAAAGTAATTCCCTGATATTACAGGAAATCAAGAAGCAGGGCAGCCTTCGTGGTTGGTCCCTCCCTCTCTCAGATCCCTATTCTCACAAGGTCAAGTTGGCCTTCAGGCTGCCCCGACATCGGATCTCGGGTCCAAAAACCACTTCCGAGCACAAAGTCATGGAGAAGAATGGAGGCTTGCTCCTTCTGTCTCCCCAGGGGCTGGGAAGTCTTTCCCCGAAGCCTCACAGCCAACCCCCCTTCATCTCTCATTGGTGAGGACTGGCTCTGCTGTTCACAGGAAAGAGATGCTTTGGTGGCCTAAGACCCACCATTGCGGGGGGAATGAGCACTGAAGAGTCAGACACACCGACCACTGTGCAATTCTGGAGTCAGTAAGGAGAGTGCACACGAGTGACACTAATTTCCGACCAATACGTACCACAGCACACGGATGACGAGACTATATAATGAAGAGGGAAGATAGAGGGGGAGAAGGAGAAATGAATGAGCGTGTGGAAGAACAGATAAATAACAGAAAGTCTCAATTACAAACAGTCTAAAAAGTCTAATACCAAAAAAAAATTTTACCAAAAAATTGAGAGAAAAATGTAGAGGGAGTATAAGTTTTAGACAATTCTTTTCAAAACAATACACAGTGCATCCTCGAACAACACAGTTTGAACTGAGTCCCCGCCAAATTCCTATGTTGAAGTCCTAACCCACAATATCTCAAACTGCAGCTGTGTTTGGAGACAGGGTCAAACACTACCGATGGTATATGCTTAAAACACAGCAGTGACAGAAGCAATGAAGTCCGGTGGGCGCTCAATTGTGGGAGAAGCCACAGGTGACGTGGTCAAGGAAAGGCCACCTGGGAGTCGGGAAAGTGAAGCATGACAAAGAGCTAAGAAAAAAGGAACGTCTGATCCTCAGCAGAAAAGATGGTCACAGAGTGGCTCCCTGTGTACTCTGAAATGTTACCTGAGATGTATGGGTAACGTGGGAATTTGAAACGCGACCCTAGAACCAACAGCATTCGCAAAACAAGCAAACTAAATATCCACCGTGTACAACTCCCAAGGCCAAAGATGAGTACTACCTGGAACACATCTGATCAGAAGCAAAACCGTACCTAACTGCTAGGCAAAATGATCACATTCCGAGACATATGGATAAAATATCAAAGTTTATCCAAAAGTCCCCTGCCCCCGCTTTTATATTCTGTGTGGCTATTTGATAAGGCGTCACAACAGAACTTCAAAAGTGCGCTCTACTTCCTGAGCCAGTGGTCAACAAACCAAGGCTCACGGCCTGTTTTGTGAACAGAGTGGCCTCCACAGAGATTCGCTCATTTATCAGCTGTTGCTGCTCTCTCACTGTAATGGCAGAGTCACGTCACGGTGACAAGGTCATGTGGCCCACAGAGCCTAAAATACGGACTCTCTGGCCCTTTATGGAAAGTTTGCCAACTTCTACTTTAACTAGTTTTTCTTTTTTTAATTGATTTTTCAATTACAGTTCACATATTATATTGTACAACTAGTTTATGCAGCTTATACAACCTTGCAAAGTTACACTTACATTTCTTACAATGTCCCCAACGCCAATGCGCCGATACCCATCTGACACCATACATAGTCATCACAATATTATTGACCACACTCGCTTCTTAGGCTGTACTTTTCACCCCTGTGACCATTTCTATAACTGGCAGTTTGTACTTGCTTAATCCCTCTCACCCTTTTCTCTCGTCCCCCCAACCGCCCCATCTGAGGACCACCCACTTGTTCTCTGTGTCTCCGTGTTTGTTTCGGTTAAGTTTGTTCCTTCGTTTTGTTTCTCAGATGCCTCGTGTAAGTGAAATCACAATTAGTTGTTTTTTAGAATTCAATTCTTGAAATTTCTAATAAAACACTGGAGAAACTCAATTTTTTATTTTGAAATGGGCGTTTAATACTAAATTTACGATAAAAATGCATAAAGTAAAATAACAATAAGAAATGATAATTAAAAAAATACTCACAATCTTTCAAGGAGACTTAGCCCAGAAAATGAACCATTCTTCAGTTCAGATATTTTATTGTTACTCAAAATCCTAAAAAGGACAGAAAAAGAAAAATGTCAGTTGCCTAATATGTGTACACCATCAATGTCAAAGTAATTTAGCTCTTTCTATTTAAACCTATGATGAATTCTAAGTCATTTATTTCCACCCAAATTTTTGAAATACCTGACCAAAAAAATAAATAAAAGGGAGCTTATGTTTTTTAAAAAACCACCTTCAAAAGCTCACCTCTTAAATCGTTCCTACCACGCTGAAGCAAAAATTTAAAATAGAGAAGTCAACACAAAACGGCTCTCAGTTCAATATAAGAATAAAGAATGCCACATACATTTATATAATCAACCAACTTATACAAGTTGAATCCTTATTTAAAAATTGGAAACGTAATAGGAAAATGTGTGTGGTGCTCTATACAATACTGACCTGATACAGATATAAAGCACCCTCTGGAGATTATTGCACTGATGCTATTATTTGTCACCTGACAGCATGCAAATCGAGGTATCTGTGTGAAAATACACTCTCCACGGGCACTTACACACAGACAGAGAGAGTAGCTGTCCCACAATGTTACACCTCCTGTGTCAAGACCATGTTCTTAAAACAATAAACTGAAAACAAAAATTTACTGGAAGTCATACTCAAGCCGCCTCCACGCCCTTGCCTAGGAGACTACGTACCCATATTCTAGCTCCTCTCTAGGCTGCAGGACTGGGCACCTTTGGCGGATTGAATACTAGTGAAGAGACTCCATAAATGAAGTGCAATGCTAAAGCTACCTGCCTTGGGGGAGTGGGACATCAAGATTAGAAAATGAAAACACCAAGGCACAGAAGACTTACATCGATGGCGAGAGATTACACCAGCAAATGACAGAGCCAAATGGTGAAGCCAGGACACTGCCACTCCAACCCCACGTTCTCCGATCTGCGCCCACATTGGTCAGGAGACACTGCTGGCGTCTGGGGCAGAAAATGCTCCACCACACTCAGTGTGGCACAACTTCAGGGGCACCAGTGGCTCCCCTCCTCTCTCCAGACAGCACAGCGCACAATTCTCTACGCACAAGTGTTAACACAATACCTCTGCGCCCTAAACTTTCGGGTACATTTTCACTTTGTCTACTTTCATCATCCTAAAAATTTACAAAAATGTACAAAACAAAAATACCCATTTGACATCTAATTTTCTTTTCATGTAAGTAGAATATTTTTTTTAAAAATCTCTACTCATGCAGATTAACATCTCAATCTCTTGTGTGGGATGATTACTAGGAGCTTCTTAAACCCAGTTAATCTGTGTTTGAAACCTGGCTCTTAAATCATATTCAAGTGATACTGATTTGGGGCCCATCATTCTATCTCTCCATAACAGAGTCCCCTCATTCCTAAAATGGAAACGATAATATAATACCTACCTCATAAACACTAGAAGGAAATTAGAAAATGGACAACATGCTAAGTGTGTACTCCTTAAAAGTCAGATTCAGTTTCCCGGGTTCTAAGACTCCCACCCTCTCTCATTTTAATGTTTCTTGCAATCAAAGTGTATTACTGTGTAGTATTTGGCGTTCCCCACCCCCAAAGCTGTTACTAAAGCAGGGACAAGGGGACTATGAGAACACGATGATCAACAGTATTCTGATTAAAATACAATACTGTGCTCTTGAGCCAAAACTGCAAAGGTTTTTCACAGTGAGGTGGTCGGCATGGGCCAAAGCAAACTCCGTCTGGCACGGGGCCAGCCTCTCCGTGCAGCCTGGTGGTGCACACCCAACCTGCCCTCCACTTAGGCATCGACCCGAAGCTAACAAGCCACCGGGTCTGACGAGAGTATACTCAGTGACCTATTTTAGCATGACTTATGACAGACAGAATAAGAAACTACCAAAGAGGTCAGTTTACGTGGGAGGAAGGGAAAAACTTATTGCGATACGTCCAAACACCAAAAGGTTACCCATCAGTCAAAGTGATTCTTTTAAACGAAACTCGATGAAAAGACAAATGCTCACTACCAGCTATAAAGCAAACAACAAAACTAACACCACCCATTGCAAAGAATCCAGGTGGAGCCAAAAAAAAAAAAGATTTAGAAGAAACACATCAAAACGATCACTATCTTCTGTTACTTTCTCTTTTATTCTTTATAATCTTGCAGTATCTTTTAAAATATCTACACTATGATTCTTATTTGTAAAATATTTTCATTCGATGGTAACATATTTTCTCCTTAATAACTAAGCATAGCTTAAATTGAGTTAATTTTGAATACCATTATATCCAAGCAATAAAAAATAATGTTTTATTTATACTCTGAGATTAACGGTTCGCATTTATTTATATTAAAAAAATGTTTATGCAGTGACTGCAGTTTACTCGGCACTAAAAGAACAGCGGTGATGACTTGTGAAGACCACCAGCAACAGATGGGTCACTTCTGTGGCACACATCGCTTTTCTAGGTCGAGCTCATTTTGAAGATGGAAAATATTAGGCCAGCATGATCGTCAAGATCTCTTCCAGCTTCTCGTAATTTTTCATAATTATTCGTGCTTTAATGAGCAAAGCTGATGAAGTTTACAGTGACCAAGAATTTATAACCAAGAAACCAAAAATAAAGAAAACCACACAATACTTCCTAAGCCCCATGACATTAGTGTCCTGGTGCCACATGAAGAATGACACCCAAATCCGGGAGCAGCTTTTGAGAAAGTACTAGGGAGGCGACTATAGGGCCCTCACCGCGATCAGCAAGCAGCGCGTCAGAGAAAGGACAGTCATTCGCTGACCCATAAAGGCTTGACTACAATAAATGACAGACTTTATGGAGGAGTCAAAAGACGTTTCATCACACTTAAAAAGTTGTAACTGTAACCTTAAAACTACAGTTTACAACCTCGTGTTAATATATTCAGTCTACATATTACTTGACGTGCTTAAGGATTCTGTGCAAGAAAACAGGATCAGTAGGAATAAATCTACCCTGCGGACAGTTTTTATACTCAACTTTGAGACGAGGAACTGTGAAACTAAAAATGCATAATAGCCTGTATCATTATAAGCCTGAAAGCCCACTCATAATCAATATTTTTGCTGACATCTCTGAAATTTCAAACTATCCAGGAGGTAACTAAATAAAGAATATAAAACGTGACCAAAGTTATAAGGCTCATATATACCCATTTCTGTTCTAGACTAATGGTGTTAACATGTATGATGTATGGACCATGCCAAGGAAACACTATTCTGGACTCTCATCTCCTGCATTTTAACACTGGAAGACAAGTCTCGTGTCCACCATTATACCTCAGCATGGATCCAAGATGCTTCGGTATGTCATTTATGCTGAAAATGGAGAAAGGAATAAGACCATGTAAATACCTGTTTTTTTTATAAAATCAGTTTATGGGACAGAAAGAAATAAAAATTGAGTATTACGTGTTCTCAGTCCCTTGCTACTGCAAGTCCCAGAATGGAATGGGGTTACCAGCACCCATATTCTGCGTGGCAGAAGGTGGAGAATAATTCTCCTTTTGAGATGAAATGAAAATATATTTCAAGAGCATTAAATATTCAGATCCAATGTGAGGACTATAACTCTTAAAGTCAACCCCTGGAGGGAAAAATCAGGTAAGGGATCACACAGGGTTACTGTAGTCGGCTGGATTGTGGCCCTCCACAAGACATGTCCATGCGGAGCCTGCGAATGGAAAAAGGGTGTTTGCAATGAAACTAAGGATTTCGAGATGAGATCGCCCTGAATTAGGGTGGGCCCCAAGTCCAAGGCCAAGTGTCCTCAGAAGAAGAGAGGGGCAGGAGACTCAGAGACAGTCAGATGAAAGGCAAGACAGACTCAGAAAGAGAAAAAAGAAAAAAAAAAAGCCGGGCAGGTTTAGAAGCCATAATAAGTAAAGATTTTTAAGACCTAAGGAAAGGAGCAAAGAGACTATACTTTAAACTGTAGTACAGTTTAAAAACTCCTTTTTGAAACTTTTAAAGTCATTAGCAATGTTAAAAGATAAATAACAAATATTTATAACTACTAACAAAAACAAAGGAACTGCCCTGGGCAGGTGGGTCAGTTAGTTAGAGCACTGATCGGGTTCTACTCCCTGTCAGGACACATACCTACACACCGAGGTTGTGGGTTCGATACCCACTCGGGGCATGTGTGGGAGTTGACTGTTCTGTTTCTCTTCCTTCCTCTCTCTCTCTAAAACCAATAAGCATATCCTCAAGTGAGGATTTAAAAAAAAAACAAAACAAGAAACAAAGCACTGATTTTTCAAATACATAAAGAGCTCTTAAAAACACCCCCAAGGGAAAACCTAACAAAGCCCATGAACAGATAGTTCGGTAAAAGTCAACACTGATGGATCGTAATCACAGGAGGGGATCCACAATTCCAATCATGAGAGAAATGTAAATTAAAACTAAAACAAGACACCATAAATCAAGGAGGGTGGGTAAAAGTATGCTAGATCTTTTTTTCCAGAGGGAAACATCTGCTCATATTTTGCTATAAATCAGTACACTCACTATTAAGGGTAAAACTACCAATGCATATATAAGTAGAGTATCTGATCCATTAATTCCCCTTCTGGAAATCTATCCAAAAACTATACTTGACTCACATGTTATGTGTTAAATGTTGCATGATTATATATTTACACAACAAAGTCATTCGCTACACTATTGTTTGTTACAGCTAATGACTGGGTGTTTAGGTCGGTTCCAGAAACGTGGACTTGGTTAACACTGTCAGCACCGTGAGAGGCCATGCAGATGGGGGGCTGCAGAACTGGGGAGCAGATGGTCTCCACAGGTGCTCACACTGAAAGATCAATGACATACTGAGGATGGAAGGCATGCCCTTAAATATTAAAGTATTAAAAGTTTCCGCCCCTTGACATTTATAATTTGCTCAAGTAATGCAAATTGTGGTGATACAGTTTGATTCTGTGTCTTATATTTATCATGCAGATGAACAGTTGTTATTGCTATGTCTTTATCAAGTGCAAGAAAAGTGGAC